TTTTTAAACTCTACTGCTCATTCGTAAAGCAGATTCCCATGAGAAGAAACTCAAGGGGTTGCTCTTTGTAATTAAACAATCGAATACATTTTTAACTGACTTCAAAAAAAAGGAGGAGGTTTTAATTCCAATTTTTTTTTTGTATGTATGTTACGCGATAACTCCAGTATTTGTGAACCGATTTTGATGATTCTTTTTTTGTTGGAAAGAGGGTACCTCCATAGTGGTCCCATTTTATGTTGAAGAAAATCATCCACCTCTAAAGGTGGCTGATCATGCATGAACATTCATTTTTATAAATAGCGCCTAAATTTTACTCAAGTAACAATTATTTTAATGGTTGGTTTTGCTATTCTCCAATTCAAGGCGTTTTTCTCTCTCAATATACTTTGAGTAGTGAGAACCGATGTTTATTATCTCCTGTGTCAAGTCCTGTATAGTGGCGAACTAGGGGATATTTCAATAAAACTTAGCAAATAGACGTAATTCCATGTACTTTTGAGGTCGGTTTTTTTAGTACTCTGTACTGAGATTATATCATTTACAATATTTATTTCGAACAGCATCAAGACAACTTGCAAGGGCTGTACGGGTTACTACCATAGCTTTTTGTCACCCAAGAACGTAGAAGCTGTATAATAGCTGCGATCCGGTTTTGAAGGGTAAGGGTGCTGGTCAAATTACAGGCACATGGGACTTGTCAACTTATGTCTCAGGGTGATTAGCGTAGAGGCGTGTCCCTTAAAACCTCGCGATTTAAATCTTGTGTGTAACTTACCGTCAGTACCAGTCACTTGATATTATAAAAAAAATAACCTTTAGTTTAAAGTTTTTGTTTCACTATGTAGATTTAAACCTCGTGAATGGCAAGTTTTGAATATTAACCGGAATTTTATTATAGAACCGTATATTTACGTTATCTAGTTAGACGAAACTATTCGGGGGCTATAATTAAATCATTATAATGAACCGTAATTGACTATGTTTATAAAAATTTACTTATTTAACTACACGTCTTAACTGAATAATTAAAAAATAATTAACTCTATAAATAGCACTTTTAAGAGCCTGTGCACGTATTTTAAACGCGGTGTAGGGATTTTTTTTTTATAATATCATGTGGCGGGACGAACATATATATATACATCATTGAGTACACTTCTGGAATACGACCCTCAGAGTCGTATTCTAGAACTCTACTCAATGCTCAAGTCAGGATTTGAGCAGACTTGAGTATGATTTTCAGTGCTCACTGCAATACTCAAGTTCTGACTTGAGTATTGAGTAGAGTTCTGGAATACGACACTTAGTGTTGTGACGACCCTGAGGTGGCACATTCACACAGGTAGCACATTCCTTCAAAGAAGTTTAAAACACTGTACAAAATATATCCAGGTTCAATCCCGGGCCGGGAGAAATAGATGTATGGCCTACATTTATTTCTCTCGTGAGTTTGGGTGTAATTTGTGGTTGTCTGTGTGTGTGTCCATGGCACCCGCGACACAGGGTTTCCATAGTGCTGGGCTATGTTGAGTGTGTGCGTTATTATTGTATTATTATTATTATTACTATAACAGACAAAACTAAAATTAAAACTATATTTTACCATAATGTGCGTTTACGGCGTGTATACGCACGTCGTTAGCGCGTATAAAATACGCCACGTGCATGGTATTTGACTTTATTTCGTATGAAAATATAATAACAGTGTTAGTATGGCAATACCTATAAAATTATAATTATTTTAACAATTGTCCTGTATACATACCTAGCAAATGAAGTATACATCTCTACAACATGACCTTGGTCACAAAGTTACTAGTTACACCAAGGTTAAAGTTATCGCATGTATACAGTTTTTTTTTCTCAGAGTAATTTACACGCCAACTTGTACGAGTATACTATATTCTTTTAAAATATTCTTTTGTTAATAATTATCAATAAACCACATCTTGCACAAATTTAATACGTAGTATTTTTTGTAATTTTTATTAAAAAACCGACTTGAAAAGTGTGTGAAATTACATCTATTTGTCAAGCTTTTTTGAAATCCCCTAGTTTGCCATCCTTAGAGGTGGAATATTTTCTTTAAATTTAAATAGGAATAATTGGGTGTGTGTATGTGAAAAAGAAATTTAAAACATTTTAAATAACACAAAAAACAAACCTCCTCAAATCTATAAAGTTTGTGGGACATAAATCTAAAGTTATTTTATATAACTTTTATCTCGGAAACTAAACTAAACTTCCTCGGCGTCGGCTAAATGCGGAAACCTCGTAACTCAAGCGCAATATCGGACAATTGAAGCATAAAACATAATTCGTAGACCTTCTTTTAGTATATAATTAATTATGCCTTTTTTACAAAAATAATAAACCAAGTTTTATTGAAAACAGTTAACGGAAAGTGGTTGTAATATAATAAACCTGATTTACTCCTAATTTGCTACTCTAAGAACGGTTAAAGGTAGACGATTAGCGGTAGAATATTGTCTTCAAATTTAAATGGTACCAATACTGAGATACTGGTAAAAACGGTTCACTCAACGGTTCACACACAAATGCCTTAGGAATTATCGCGTAACATACAATAAACAAACACAATCGAATTGAAAACCTCCATTTTTTTCAATTCTATTAAAAATTCTCTATATAATCTTTTATGAAATCGCAATATATTCAAAATAATAATCTTTAAGGTTTTGGGAGAAGCGAGAGTCTGAAATAGATAATAATAATAAAAAATACACACCTTGAGCAGACGAAATCAAACAGATGTGGCACCGAGAAACCATTATGATAGTCCCCATTATAATTTCGTCAACTGGTATCATACCGAAAACCCTTCATACCGCCTTAAAAATAATAGATCTGCACCCTAAAACCTACATACCTCTACAAAAGTCAATTGTAAGAGACACATGCTCGACAGTCCGCAAAAAATACCGCTCACTCACATCCCCTCACAATACCACAACCGAACCAGAATACTTGGCTTAGGCCCGTACCTGGCTCCAAATAACCGACCTTCAATAGAGTACAAGAAAAAAATCTTTATAATAATAATAAGGAGGAAGTAGGATCTTATTACACACCCACCAAATACTCGTAGATACACGCCATACTGCATTTACTTGACTTAGGTCCGTAAATGTGGTTCAAACCAGCTAACAAGCTGAGAAGACTAAAGTAAATAATAATAACAACGCGTGTGTGCGGTCAACATAGCGCCGCACTAGGGAAACCCTGTGTCTCGGGTGCTATGGACACATACATAGACAACCACAAATTACACCCATTCGTGAGTTTTCACGAGAGAAATAAATGTAAGCCAGACAAATATTTCTACCGGCCCGGGAATCGAACCTGGGACCTCCGCGTGGCAGTCCAGCCTGGTAACCGTTCGGCCTCGAAGGCAGTTTGAAAATTCGAAATTTAAACATCAAAATAGTTCTTAGCCAATGGCTCGCTGACAGCCTTGTTGCCGTTTTGTCAAGGACCGCGGTGTCTAAAGTTAGTGAGGTGCGCAGAGTGACCGATGTCGTTACTTTTTATTTTCTGCTTTGGTGCTACATCTTCTTCCATGACGCAACGTTCTCTTATCACACTGTTCTGCAATCTCATCGGAGGCACGTCAACAATACCCGTCAATATTAAAATACGTAATAAATCAAGTAATCAAAGTTTTTTTCCTTCGTGGCATAAAAATCGATAAAGTCAGAATACACCAACCATTCGTGACCAAATAATTAAACTGCTATTAAAAGTTTACGTAGTTAAGCTAACCGTATTAGTATACCGTCCAAACTTTCATGTTAAACTGAAATAAGATGGTTATCGTTCGCAAGCGCCTAAAACGAATTAGGTTCAAGTTGAATTTTAGTTTCTTTTTCAAGTTAATTGTTTTGTCGCAGTATTACAGCTTAATGTTTGTATAATTAAGTAGAGCTTAACTCGCACTCTGGGTTTAATCAGGGGGCCTACAATAACCTTCCCAAAAACAATCTAATTTCTAATGTAAGCTTAAATTAAGCTTGTTATAATATTACTCATATTCGTACCATGACAAACCTATCAACCAAGTAATGTATTATTGCTAAAAAGACTGAAAGAACGAATGATTTCCCAATAATATTCCTTACTAAAAATAGGGAAGAGATAACGCTTATATAATATATAAATATATCTTAGATAAATATTAAGACAATAAAACTGAAAATCATATTGTTTCCATTGCATCCGTGTAACTATTTTAAGATTGCAAAATTTGACATAAGAGCTATATTACTTCAATGTTAAAGTCGCGTCATAGTACGAACTGAGTGAATGAATAGTCACAAAGCTGCCAATAAAATATCATAGTTTTAACATTACATTAAGCTTACTTTAAGCGCGTCATGGTACGAAAAGTCAATGTAAGGTTAAAGTAATATTATTTTAAGAGGTTGTCACATCTGTCCTACGACAAATTTTTTAACCGACTTTAAAACAGGAGGAGGTTCTCAAGTAGACTCGGTTTTTTATGTATGTTACGCGATAACTAGTATGCTGTCTACACTAGAGAATACCTGGAAACTTACACTAGACGAGGGGAAGGACATAACCATGAGCTACGCATTAAACACTGGGTTGTACCCGTACAGCACTTTTTGTCTACAACGGGCTAATTAATACATGTATTGGGCACGACAGTACTTAACCGGCTGCCTCTTGAAATTGTTGATTCCGCTTCGGACAACTTATTTAGATGTAGATTAGAGCACTGGCTTGTCAAGCAATCAATATAATATAACAACACAATTCACACTGATACACAAGTTGACAAGTCCCACGTGCCTGTAATTTCACCAGCACCCTTACCCTTCAAAACCGGAACACAGTAATGCTGACATTACTGCTTGGCGGCAGAAATAGATAAGGTGGCAGTACTTCCCTGGACGAACTCTTTCACAAGGAGCTTTACTGCTACATAGCTTACTGAACCTTTTTTCACCCCGCAGATCTGTATCACGCCTGCTCGAACAGCGATGAGTGTAACGACGGCTTGATCTGCGGTGCTCCTAACATCACCAACAACGCGCCTTACCTCCGTGTCTACCAACCTACCGACAAGATTTGCCTTTGCGATGCTGAGAATGGTTATAGGGAGCGCGAACACACTTGCAGCGGTAAGAATTTTTTTGTTTTTGTTTACCACCCGTATTAACAAGTAATGGGACGAACAAGTCATGCGCCTGTTGGTAAGCGACACGCCTGTCCATAACAGTTGCAGTGCCACTGAGAGAGTTAAACCACAAACATTTGAACGGCACTCAAACTCAAAATGAAATTCCACTAATCCCAACCAGTGATGGCGTGGTAGGGAGGAGTGGAAAAAAGTGCACTTGTCCCCACCAGAGGGACAGCTGGTAAGGACTAGTGGAATAGGGCAAATTCAAATATTTTTTTTTAGTTTATTGGTTCACTTACAGATAAATGTAACATACTATAAATTTAATTTGGTGAAAATCTTTGTTTAAATTGCATAACTTCTTATGAATGAACAGAGCTTGCAAAAACAAACGTAAAACGTAATTTGTAATCTAAAAACAGCAACTTAAATTAAAAAAAGAAATACAAACAAAAACAATTAAATACAAGTTGGTAACGCCAGATAGTTTATGTCTGAGCTCGCATCTCCTTTTCCTTTCCTATCCCAATCCGTGCTACGCCAAAGCTGCATAAAGCGCCAGTGAATTAAAAATAATTGTGTGTGACGTTAACATTCGAACTAAAAAATCCGCCTCCGCATCATATGTCATTTTCAAGCGCAAGTTTTTACATGGTGGCGTTATCGGTGGTCGCATATGAAGAAGGTGAAGCAATACGAGCCTTTCGACGTTTCGGATATAAAGGTGGTAGCACGGCTTCCCTTCCTTTTACTTGCGAGTTCACGTTTTTTCATCTACAGCGTCACCACAAGTGAACAAGGGTCTCTAACAGCATCAAACTAGATGGGGAAAAAAATAAATTAAATTAATTAAGGAAATTAATTTAATTTATTTCAAAAGGAAGCAAATTAGACTTAATAATAATAATATAATAATAATAATGTTTATTTTTACTTTAAACAATAATGTACAAACATACAAAATAATTAATTATAAATTATAAAATAAGGCTAAGAAAATTGTACATTTCAAATTATGTAGGTAAGCCTCTGCAGCCGAACTAGGATTAAACCTGTATCTCAGCATGCAGCGTCTAACCCCAATGGTAACATAAACTTTAGCCAATTATAATTGGTGATCAAATTCGCACAACAAACTACTTAAACAATTTGGAAAATTTAGAAATAAAGATACTTAAATATTAAAAACATGGAAAATTTGTCAAGAAATGAACACAAACCAAAAAAATAGTTAATGCAAAAGGTTAGTTTACTTGAAATCGTCATACTGATTAAACTCTACTGCTCATTCGTAAGGCAGGTTCCCCTGAGAAAAACGAGCAAAAAGCTCTAGGGTTTGCTCTTTTAAATATACATTTATCATTTGCAATACTTATTTCAAACATCGAAGATTGCCTACCTGCAAAAGCTAAATGGGTCACTACCACGGATTCTTGTCACTGCCAGCATTGCCATTGTCGACAAGTCCCAGGTGCCTGTAATTTCACCAGCACCCTTACCTGTCAAAACGGGAACGCAGTAATGCTCACTTTACTGTTTTGGACCATAAATACGTAAGGTGGCAGTACTTCCCTGGACGAACTCTTTCACAAGAAGCTCTACTGCTACTAATACACTCATTTATACGTCACACTGCTCGGCACGGGTCTCCACTTGGGCGCAGTTTTAGGCCATAGTTCGCTATGCTGACCCAAACGCGGACTTCACACGTATCCCGAGTGGTGCGAACCTTCTTCGACGTGCAGTTGTTTGTGCTGCACTACGCTATGTTCGGGAACAAGACCGCAGGCAGGGAATTCCACTCCCTAGCCGCTCGCCGTATATATGTGGAAGCGAAACGCCTCGTGGGAATCTTGGGAATAACCACAACATAGGGATGGAACCCCAACCCACGTCTAGTCCCACGATGATGGAAAGGAGAAGGGGGAATCAAATTATGCAACTCCATCGTACACTCTTCGTGATATATCCTGTAAAATACCGATAAGCAGGCAACTCTACAGCGGTGTTCAAGGCCCTGCAGCTTCGCCTCTACTAATTCCGACATATACTTATACTAATATAATATTCTAAAGGGTTTTTCAACAAGAACTTTGTTTTGTAAATCAAAATAAAACTATAAATTTAGATGACAATTATTCAAATTTTTATTGTATTAAAAAAAGTAAGGTTTGGCAATTATGAATGAGAAATGATATCTGATAAATGTCCACCACCACCACCACAGTTACAGGTGTCGATTCTTTCATCAAAGTTTTTAATCACTTTTTGACAAAATGGTGGGTCTATTTCGTTAATCACTTCACGATGTTGAGCTTTAAGGCTGCAATCATTTCGATTGGCTCCGTTCAATCACATGATCGAGCTGCTTACTTAACGGCTGAATTTCGTGAAATTGTGCGGTCGGGAAATTTGGTTTCCAATAAATTCATTGTTTCGGTGGCAGTGTGACTTGTGGCGCCGTCTTGTTGTAACCAAAATTGAGTTGTTAACATCTCTCGATAGCGTAATCCATTGACCGTAACCGAATTTCTAGCCGAATTTTCGAAAACAAACGGACCAATGCCAACGGCACATGTCACACATTCACCGAAACAATGAATTTATTGCAAAACGACCACAGGGTCGTGGTGAATATTTATTACATATCATTTTTCACTAATAGCTGCCAAACCTTACTTTTTAAATACAATAAAAATTTGAATAATTATCATCTAAATTTATTGTTTTATTTTGATTTACAAAACAAAGTTCTTGTTGAAAAACCCTTTACATTAGAATTGAACAGATAAATTATAATAATCCAAATTGAACCAGTGAAAGACCTAAATTCATATAATATATAATAGGTACGTCAATGTGTACGTAGTTTCCTTTAAGGTTTAAGGGCAAGCTGATAACCTTTGGCATACCACGAACATGCTTTCGCGCTCATTAATTTAAAATAAATAAAAGTAAAAACCCCACCAAAGAATTTCTACTCTATTCCTACCGCAATAAAGTTTGATATTGGAAACAGAATATCAGGATTTAATTTATTTTTCAAGAGCATAGACATTTTCTTTATTTTTTTCTTTATAGAGACCAGTTAGCGACGTGCGTGATTGCCCTTTGCTATTTAATTAGAATTTTATTACTTCTCTATACGAATTATTTCATAATGAGCTCTGATACTGAAAAATGACCCTTAAATTTCGTTTCATTGTCTTCTTATGTCAACTTCTACTTGAAGGACAATTGTGTCAGTAGGGTTCCCCCTATTGACACAATTGCAGGGTAGTTTGATACAGGGGACACATTCATACCCCGGCCATTATCTCCATACCTTCAAACATAATATTAATTATGATAATACTAAAACCTTTGTATGTGTGAGTAATAGACATGCTATGATGCCGCTCACAGTCAGCGGCTGTCGCTCGACAGGCCACAAAGTGTTTTCACAGCCGTTGACTAAAAAATAAGCGACACAACTACGAGTGCCACTGTAGTTTTGTTCACTTTACAGGGTTTTATGTCTTAATGCATGGTAACCTAGTGTTTCTAATAACTAGAATTGCATTGGTTCGTTCCGTGGCTTAGTTGGTATAGCGTCTGGTATTAATAATTATAACAAACTAGTGGAGTAATTTAACTTAAAAATAATTGAATATCAATTTAATAAAAAAAATTAAATAATATGCACGTGTTTTGGTTGTTAGCGACATTTTACATTATGTTTTTGTAAATAAAATAGTAGTAGAACAGCTCCTTGTGAAAGACTTTGTCCAGGGAAGTACTGCCACCTTACCCATTTCTGCCGCCAAGCAGTAATGTCAGCATTACTGTGTTCCGGTCTTGAAGAGTAAGGGTGCTGGTGAAATTACAGGCACATGGGACTTGTCACCTCATGTCTCAAAGTGACGGGTGCAGTGGCATTGCAATTGTTACGAACAGGCGTGTAGCTTACCAACAAGCCCACGACTTACTCGGCTCGTCACTTGATATTACGAAAAAAAAATTGTGAGTAGTTTGCCCATTAGGACACAGAGACTTATATCCAACAGTTACGACGACCCCATCAAATGTAATTTTAAATTGAAATGAATTTTTATCCTGTTTTTATATTTCAGATGCCGACATCTTGAAAACTTCTATTTTCGCCATTGTAGTTGTGGCGTGCATAAGAAAGTTTCTGGTTTATTAAATTATACATAATATTTTAATGTAACGTCTCACGTAATTTTTGTTTTTTTGACATTTCGATACCTTCCACGTAAGTTGTTTAAGTCAAAATGCAATTTTTTGCTTTTTAACTTAAATCATTGACTTACAAATAAATGGACGACGGGTCTAATACAAAACCAAGAAAAAATGTCCCAAGTCAACCTATTTAAACGTAGTGACATGTAAGGGAATATGAAAAAGCTAAAACGTTGAATTTAAATTGTAATGTCATCGCAGTAGTGTCTAATTTTGCTTGCTTCGCTGTCAGTCGAACAAACGAAGACTAAAGCGTGAATGACGCTCTGTATACTATTTTAACGCCCTATAAGTTCGGACACTATTTAGCGCGGACCCCACGTCCATATAATTGTAAGTCAATGACTTAAATATATCTTTTTTTATGTATATTATAGGTTCTTTAATTAAAAACAAAGAAATCACTTAGTGTTATGTTTACTTTCAAACGTGGAAACAAACTGTTGTGGTGGAATATTTTGTTCAAATTTAAAAAGGACTACTACTGAGATACCCTCTTTTTAACAAAAAAACAATCATCAAAATCGGTTCACGAATGCCGTATACGTAGAGTTATCTCGTAACATGACATACGAAAAAAAACATACGTCGAATTGAGAAACTCCTCCTTTTTTTGAAGTCGGTTTGACTTATACAACAACTTACTTACGTGTGAGGCAGCTATCGATTTGTGTGCATAGGTTTCATTAATCAGTTTCGTATTTATTTATAGTTTGTTTATATTGTATTCTAAATTATATTATTGTTTTACATGAAAGGACGTACCTATGTATAAAAAAAATGTAATAGGTAAATGTGCAGCTCGCTAACGCAATTCGTCAAAAATATATCGTTGTGTAATCCATATTTTTATGTCCGAAATGTAGAAAAACATCGAAACAAGTATTTTTAGTGTGTGTTTTGAGTAGAAATCACGTTTTATTAAATAAGTGCCTGACAAAAATTAATTAACAGTAAATGTAAATAGTTTAAAATCATTTATTCGCACAGTCCGTCCATTCCAACCAAATGTTATCTATTTAAAAAAATCACGTACTGTAAAGCTAAGTTAAATGTATAAAAATTGTCGAAAGCGCCATTGACAACGTGACTTTATGTGATTCACCGGTGGTTATAATTCCCAATATTAAAAAAAACAATGTGTTATCTCCAAAATTGTTATTGTGACCGATGTTTCTATTTGAAAGTAATACTGTAAAAGTTAGTACAGAATATACTAAGTAGGTACTTCTTTATTTTTACTAAACTAAGGCGCAAAAAAAGGCGCGAACTTACTTTAATTGTCACTAAGTTAAGGCGCAAAAAAGGCGCGAACTTACTTTAATTGTCACTAAACCGAGGCGCGAAACGATCACGAACTTAAACTGTCACTGACTATCCCGTGCATTACAATATTTTTGCCAACAGCAACAATGGACGAACTATTCTACGCGCTGCTTTTCTAAATCCATTAGCATTTTTGTCTAGATAACTTATTACAAAAAATGCAACGCAGGTTAGTAGAGAGAGCGTCAATAATGTTTTCAGTTTTGATCTAAAATGCACCTTGAAAACAGTACCTGTAGTATTTTGTCGAATGTTCATTCTTGGTTAGTTTCACCGTCCCAAGATAAATAAAATGCTGACTGTACTGTTGGTTAACGCTTTTTTCACCAATTAGACAGTCTATATTTCTACTTAGTTCAACACTGTTAGCCTTTGAACTAATCATAAGAAAATGTGCTCCTAATATTTAAGCTAATACAAGTGATAGAAAATGGATGACAGAAATAAAATAAAAAAAAATAATTAAAAAAGTAAATAATGTAGAATTTGTCAGATTCTACTTAAGGTAGTTAAGTAAGTTTAAAGTAAATTTTGACCAATCACACAATCAAATTCATATTTTTAAAAAAAGAACGTTCCGTTTCTAAATGGAGCTTAGTTTAATATACTTACTACTGAAAACCAGGGACCGAAACACGCAACAAGCTTCTCAACGCATGCAAGATTAGACACAAACTGCATGACAATGATGGAATTCTCCATGAAAAAAAAAAATGGAAATTCTAACATATCCGCCTGCATTTTGTGTTCAATTTTACACGTCTTTGGCGGTCCCGGCTCAAAATAGATATTGTACCCACCTGGAGTTATTGTTTAAACTTGTCCACCTACCTACCATAGAAATAGATATCTTTTTAATTTAACATTTGCATTAAATGAAACAAATTGAATGTTCCAATTGCAAGTTTATCTAATATAAATCACTTGGTAGTCTATGCAATTTTGATTAACAATTTTAGATTATACATAAAACTGTTCAACGCCATCTAGCAGTATTTTACCTAAACTACTAAACTGTTATATAATTGTTATCCAATGGTCGGAAAAAGGTGTTCCACTTAATAGCTACAAGGAGAGACAGTGTTGTTAAAATCACCAAACGTCGTCATGAGGTTTCGTTCAGCCTGGTTTGAAATGAAAGAAAAAAACCTTTGCATAAATTGGAATATTGCTATAATTGCAGTTAATGTTTTGGCCTAAATTACTCCAGTGTGGGTTCACTACATACTATTCACTTTTGAGTCAGCGTAAATTTGGCATTAAGCATAATTTTATCATAATTAAAATATTAATTAATCATATCTAATGTTAAATTAATTCACAGAGTTTATCACGTTATAGTATTAACTATATAGGGTGAAATTGTTTATAAGATAGGATAAATTCATATTTAAACTTTTTTGCAGTGTATATTTTTACAAAATATCCTAACTGATTGAACGACTTATTTCAATAGCGAGGTATACCCCCGAAAAGGTTATATACCGCTAATATGCCGTGACCAGGATCACGGCAATAAAATAGGATACCTCGGTCTACAAAAAAATATTCCATAGTTAAATCAAAAGGAAAAGGCTGTAAGAAGAAAAGGTACATAAAAAACATGCACTACGTTACAAAACACTCCCTACTCAAATATTAAAAACGTGAGGCGGACTTATCCTGAAAGGGCCGAGTTATACAGTATTACTAAGTTAGATTAGCATTAAAATTGGCATATGATTTAGGTTGGGAACTGGTTAATATCAAAATTAGAACAACACTGCTCGCTACAGCGACTGAGGAGGGAGTGACGACGGAATGAAACAAAATGAGAATGGCGAGGCAAATGAATTAAAGAAAGATTCAAAATTTGAAAACAAGTGTCCAGCAACGAGAGAAAAGGTGATATAAAAAGATGGGATCGATGGAAGGAGGTCACATCGTCACACCCCTATTAGTCATTGAATTAAACCTATAGTTAGCCAGAATACAAAGGAAAAGAAAGTTACCCAAGTATCTAATTTAAATTTCATTCAAAGCTGGCTACCCTTATTTCTGTCATAAGAAATTTAAAAAACAAAACGTTTATTCTTTTTTCATAACAGTCGGCTACAAACGTAAAACCTACCCACTGCAAGGTAGTTTATTAGTGGAAACACTTTATTTTGTAGAAAATTAGAGGACTACAATTTTCGTTTCACCGTATATAGTTTGACGTTAGAGCTTGATGTAAAATGTATGTGTAGAAGAGTGCTTAGATTTATAGCATTTAATGTATGTTGTACTTAAAAAGTTTAAATAAATTCTTAACTTCAAATTCATGTCTTTTTTTGAAAATTTTGAAATCTAACCTTTTGAACGCCCAGTCTTTAGTCTTTCAGCACACACGCACCTGTGCCTCTACCACGTGTTATGACAGTTGTCGCTAGTGACCGCTGTGACAGTTTTTTTTAAACACTCATAGCCCCGCACTAAGGAAACCCATGTCGCGGGTCCAATGGACACACACTTATATAACCACAAATTACACGAAGCTCACGAGAGAAATAAATGTAGGCCTTACAAATATTTCTCTCGGCCCGTGAATCGAACCCGGGGCCTCTGCGTGGCAGTCCCGAATTGTAACCAGAATAGTCCAGAGTTGTTTCACAATTATTTTGTACACCTAATCATACAACGCCACAAGCGGTCACAAAAAGAAACAACATTTTGTATATAAACATTTCACACGGTCGCGGCACTGGTGAACATAGTAGTAAATAACACGTGCCGAAACCAACCCCTATTGGTATGATGTATCCGTTGGAGTTCACTCCGGACGTCCGTGGAGACGTTGTTAGTTCTCGTTTAAAATTAAGAGGCTGACCCGCGGTACTGCTTACACCATCACGTGCCGGTGGCCCAGAGGCTAAAGTGTCGTTCATTAATTATCTGGACGGGGAAACTAACTTACACTAATTCGTCACTGCACATTTATGAAAATGTTATTTCGTAACATAATACGAATCGATCGTATGCACTCGAATCGATCGTCATAAAAATTCATTCGTAATGGGTATCCTTATTAGGTAAATAATGCAAATCTAGAAGATTGCAAGGTGTGTATTGTGTTGAATTTTCTCTTTTTCGTCTAAAAATTATTTTTTACGTCGCAATTTGCAATTTAAGTATGGACTTATATCAAATTCCGTATTCGTCGTTTCCGCTCACGATTTAGGGCCGAAATTGGTTAAATTTGGAAAAAAAATCCTGGCGCTTTGGGTAAAAACTCGGTTAAATTCCGGGCCGGTTCACTGGGTTTTAACCTACAGCCCAACTCTGGTCATAGGTGTTCATCAAGATGCTTTTAATGGTGACCCGATATCCTCTACAAATGATTCGGATTTAGCAGAGGCAACGCTTTAATTATTTTAATTCAATTGTGATTTCCCCTTTTCATCATCAGACGATTAGACGTAGACTAGGGTTTTACGGCCCTTTGTTGCGGATATTCCAAGAATTCGCAGGAAGTGTTACGCTTCCACATTTATAATGGTGAACGGCTGTGAAGTCTAAATTCCCTGCCTGCAGACTTGTTTCCTGAACGGTATAACTTGGGTCTGTTCAAGGTGAGACGGTACAAATAAAAATTTAAAATATTTAACGCCATCTACGTAAAACTATTACGTTGTTATAAATGTACAACGACAATAGTAATCTACTCAACACTAGATGTCACTACGATACATTATCTGACATTTACTTACATCTTTAATTATGTGTTGGTGTAATAATAACAGGTAATAATAAAACAGGTCACGAAACCATTCACTCAAATTTGAAATAAAGTGGATATTTTCCAGTATTTTCGTACATATTTATTTATTTATATTATATATAATATAAATTATATATATATATAAGACGGGTTTTTTATAGTTACCGTTTTTATACCAATAAATTTTGAATAAATAAAAAGTTTTAATAAATATATAAAAATCTTTCAACCGTGACCATGAGACCTGTAAAGGGCCCGAAACGTCGGTTTGTTTCAAAAAACAAATATACGCGATTTAAATCCTGAAAAATAGCTTCATTTCCTGTGTGTAACAATCGCGAAATACTAAGAACTCGATAAACAAAAAATACAGAATTAAATTTCTTGACAAGTTATTATAGGCAGAGGCTGTATAGTCGGTACTCATTTCATCATCTTCATCTTTGTTATTAATTAAAAAAAATAAAGTCAAACAACGTCGGTCACATGGTCACATTGTCGCATTTTTTTAGACGAAGTCAGTTGTTCGATATTCGCCATAGGTTTTGTGGTTTTGGTATTGTTTTTACAAAATTACCGTACATAGTAATTTTTAATCCTGACATTGGCAGAAGGCCAATCAAAGAACCATAGTGGAATTTGATGAAGCCATTTTAAAGAAATTGGAATCTAACTCTTCGGGCGAAATTTTGGTTGTTTACACAAATTTTTGTTTAAATTAATAAAAATGACACAAGATCCTCTAAACGAAATGCTGGAATTCTTAAAGCCTAATGCAAGAGTGGATTTAAAACACGTGTCTTTAGACCATATGCTGGGACTATCGGGTACAGAAGAAGGCGTCGAAACTCTACTTAAGAACGACCTTGTTATTCAAAATATTATTGAATTAACAGATGACAAACTCGACGAAATAGCTAAAACAGCTCTTCTAATACTCGTAAACATCAGTGCTCACAGCGAAGGTGCTTCAGAACTCTTAAAATACAAACCATTCAACCAAAAGAACTTGATAGAGTTTCTTATAGGTCAAATACTAAATCCTAATAAAAAGAACGCCGATGCGGCTTGTATGATACTTTGCAACATCACCAGACTTGAAGATGAACTGGAAATTTGTCTAGACGCGTTTTTTCCGCACTTAAATGATATTATAAATGTATTTGTTAACGTTGACTTTAACAAAACTGGTTCTAATTTAAATTATCTAGCCCCCATGTTTAGTAATTTAAGCTGTAGTTACCGTATAAGAAAATGGTTGACTGAAGAAAACCCCCACGTACCTCTGATAAAGTTACTACCGTTCTGCAACTATGAACAATCGCATATACGCCGGGGAGGAGCCATCGGTACAGTAAGAAACTTATCGTTTGATTCAGAATTTCATGAATTTCTACTAAGTCCGGACTTGGACCTTCTAACTTACCTCCTTACTCCAATAATGGGTAATGAAGAATACCCAGATGACGAAATGGATGTGTTACCTATAGCGCTTCAGTATTTGCCAAAAGAAAAACGCCGGGATCTGGATGTAGATATAAGAAAAATGATATTGGAGACTTTGAATAAACTTTGTATGAAGAGGAAGTATAGAGAAATGTTAAGAGACAACGGAGTGTATTACGTGCTACGAGAGTACCATAAATGGGAGACAGACCCTAAGGTTTGTCATGTATTGTTTTGTTATTATTATAGTGTTTGCCTGTTAAATAGCAAATCTTGAACATGTTCGGAATCTAATTTCACATCGAAGCGTATATATTGCCCCTTAAATAAATATTTGTCACTTTGTGAAGATTAGTGTCAAGAACATCTGGTTTATTTGTTTTTTTTTACTTTATTAAATATATTTACAAAACAAAATCAGAGAAAAAAGGATCGTCACATTGGTATCATTAGACATAGAGGGAGCTTTTGACAGCGCCTGGTGGCCGGCGATCCGGTGTAGGCTTGCCGAAACAAAATGTCCTGTAAACATTAGAAGAATGATAGATAGCTACCTCTCAGAAAGAAAAGTCCAAGTTAAGTATGCTGGCGCTGAATACAGGAAGGACAGTACAAAAGGCTGCGTGTAGGGATCAATAGGGGGCCCCATTTTCTGGAATATACTGCTAGACCCACTACTAAAGGAACTGGAGGGGATGAGAGTGCACTGTCAGGCATTCGCGTTTTTTACTTATTTAAATTCCTCATATTGTTCATCACTATTTTTCATAATTGTTGTTAAACAACACGCCTATCCATAGCAGTTGCAGTGCCACTCAGAGCTTTAAATGAAAGTATCTGCGGGACACAGCCATTGCGCCTGTCACCCAAAGACATAAGTTGACAAGTCCTATGTGCTTGTAATTTTGCCAGATCAGTAATGCTCATGTTACTGCTTGGCGGCAGAAATAGGTAAGGTGGCAATACTTCCCTGGACGGACTCTTTCACAAGGAACTTTCAGAATTACTATTGGTCATAATATAAATTACATTTCCATAAATGTACTGGGATTCTAATGTACAATTATTTAAACTCTCTCAAGTTATATTAGTTCCGGTCTATGTGGGTAGTGCTTTGGAATAATGAGTTTGAGACCAGGTTATTGTTACTTGTATAACATTTTTTTATTTGTCTTGCAGGTTCGACAAGTCTGTGAAAACGTAGTCGACATACTAATTCAAAAGGAGGAGGAAGTAGGCGTTGAAGATTTGTCTACAGTGGAGATACCACGGGATGTAGAGGAGAAATTTCAGGAGCAAAACAAGAGATTGGATGATGATTAGGCTCTCGTTGTTAAGTGATGGTTTTTAGCGCTCAGTTACACGACGCGAAAGTTTTCGCGCGGCCGCCGCGCGGAAACCGCCCAGTTACCACGTTTTCACGTACATTAATGTCGAATCTGAATTGTATTTACTACGCAATAACATTTAAATTCCTTGGAATAATACAACCGCGTGGACTAACCCGCCCGCGCGTCTGGTACGCTCATTTAAGTTAAATCGTAAAAGCTAAATAAATAGAGCATATTTTGCCATGACAGTTAGATGCACGCTCCGGGTAGTGACCGCGCGGACTGAGTGAAATTCGTGTCGAACAAACGCGCCCTTATTTGTATGCGCTACATTCATGTATGATCGTATGTGATTTGTATAGACTGCATTTTTTCAGGTTGTGCAGGTTTTTCTGATATAATTTCTACACTTTTTCTCTGGCCTTTATTTTTCGAGATTGCTACACATTGATAATGAAACATTTTTTCGGGTCCAAATTGTGTACATTTTGTTTAGGAAATGAAACTATTTATTTCGGATTTAAATCGCGTATATACGGACCTGTAAAGGGTAGGAAACGTGGGTTTGTTTGAAAAAACAAATATACGCGATTCAAATCCGAAAAAATAGTTTCATTTCCTATGTGTAACAATCGCGAAAACCTAAGAACTCGGTACATTTTGTTTCTTTAAATAAACCATCATTTCGGGCCCGTTACAGGCCCATGGTCATGGTTGACTAAGATGGTAAAGTCATCAATCAATTATTTAATTTAATAAGTCTATTTTGAATCATAGTTAGATGTCCAAAATGTAAACAAAGGGAATAACCGAGCAAAAAATACATTTGAAGTGGTAGTTTCTTGTTTTTAATGATAATAAACATTTAGAACTTTTTCCATCACTTGATCGTGTCATTTATCATTCGTGTTTCGTTTCTCAAACTCGAGCGTTTTGTTGTCTCTGCAGTGCGTTTGTTACTTACTATCTATAGTTGTTAATTTTTTTGTTTATTGTTAATGTTTAGTAATAGATAATTAAAATTGTAGAAAATGGGTAACTTCTTTTTCGATCCATTAAAAATAGAAGGTTGTTAATTTATTAAAAATAACTATTTGTTTCTGTAATAGTCTGTGTGTGTTCTCTGTTGTTGTAGATTCTCTTAGTGAATTCAGTCGAAATTCACCAGTCTAATTTTGAGTAAAAAAACGCGTACGTTCCTTACATTGTTGTCGGAATTATCGATGGTATCGAGGGAGCTATAACATTATAAATAATAAAAATTCGTACTATATTATTAATGCAAACCATCCTATTTTTCACTATAGTTTAAAAAAGTTGTTCCTTATTTCTACGAACATTCCAATTTACGCTACAGACTTATAAATTATTGTATTTTATTTTAACATGATTTTTGTTTTAAATTAAATTTATTACTTAGAATATATTAATTACTTCTGCAGTCTTATGTCTGCTTAGGATTTTTCATCAGAGAATATACTGCGTCGCAAACTGGTGGTGGTACGGAGATTCCATATTCCCTGTTTAAAAGTAGAATATTTTTTAATTTCAATATCCGACTTTGCAAAGATCTAGGATTTGTCGAACTTGATTGAACGTGTAGGTTTATCCATGACATGGTCGCAGACTATAAGTTCTATGGGGTAGAAATGTTTCGTTCTTCATCTTTCCAATATAAGGACGCCTTGAAATTAGACGCTTATAAAAGCTCTGCAGTGGCGCCACTGTGACGCTGCAGTTGCAGCCACTGCCTAGACACGCGCGCGCCACTATTGTAGTCACAATTAGTGAACTGAAAATTACATAAGCGCTACAGGCGCCCTAAGCGAGACTGCACTCGTACACACGTAAACTTATAAACTCCGGCATCATATAAGGGAACGTTAAACGTTACGGATCTCAGGAATTGAGAAACCTTCATCAGGGGCTTGAAAAAGGGGTAATAGATGCACGCCTGAGGACTCTCCCGATCTTGTCTGTAACACCTATTTCATTAATTTCCTAAATGTTATCAAAGAATAAATTTCTATACATATTTGTTATATCGTGACGATGTGGTGTAACTAAATGGGATTGTGTTTAGTCAACAAGGCCAGACTGAAAATCAGTATCACGTGGCACACAGTCACAAGGATTAAACTGACCCTGTTCCTTCCACGCACTGTTGCTATACTGTTATTATTGTTATGTGTTCTGTAAATAAATCATCATGAGAAGGCCTTTTTCTGACCCAATCATGGATGTAGGCCTCTGCCCTCTGGTTCCACCCTTGGCGGTCTTGTGCCCGACCTCCGTATCGACGGGTCCTCTGATATCCGACTCGGGGTCTCAATTCAAGTATTCGCCTTGTCCAGCGTCTCTCGTCCATTCTTGCAAAATACCCCGCCCCTGCCCACTTTTTCTTCGCTGTGACAACCATGACATCTTTAACTTTGGTCCTATTTCGGATCCAAGCATTATTTTTTTGATCTCGCAGGGTGATTCCCGAGCATTTGCTCTCTTCATGTTGTTCTTTACGACTCGGAACTTCTCGACGGACTTCTGTGTAAGTCATGGTTTCTAGTTAGTAAATAAATGTTGTTTGTTTTAAATAGATTAAAATTACAGGTCTTCCCTCGGCTGTTGGTGGTTTCACAATTATAGTTTCATTTCTAATGTGTAACAATCGAGAATATCTAAGAATTGGTTGATGTAAAGTTATTATTAAGCTTTATTTCTTCCGTTATTTTTCTTTAAATTTCTTTTTTAGAAGCTTTTTTATTACGTCGTTTTATTATTAAGGGTGCCATATATCGTCTGTCTCGTTAACTGTGGTATTTTGTTGTAACTTAGTACATTTTTACTCGGCTTAGGTAGGTACTTTAATCGTAACTTAAGTCGTAAATTGCCAATCAGTGTACCTATACATTATAATAGACTATAATATAATTCATTTATTACAACGCCACAACACAAAATATACACAAAGAAATAAAAAAAGACAGCAAAAGTAAACCAAAAATAAAATAACAAAAAACAACCAAGCAAACATAATCCAATTTAAAAACAGTCAATCTGAATAAATGTCATGTGTGCGGCTTTGGCGTATGTAAAAGGATCCACTCAGCTAATGTCACAGCCGAGTAAACACTGTGACGCTGATTTTTAGTGGACCCTATAACCTATTTTAGCCCTAGATGTGGACCCTAGAACCGACCTATTAGTGTATACCATATGCAGCGCGCAGGTGCAATCGCTACCCTGGCGCCATCTAGTAGGCGCGCAATAATCTTACAGTTATATTTTCCCCAGTGATCGAAAATTCTGGTGCATATGGTGCAATTATAAATGACGTTTGGAAGCAATAGCCCGTTTATTTCGCTGCGAGAGACGTATGCTCTTTGCAGGCGTCGCGAGCTAGCGACGCTCACTAACATCATACGGCCGTGTGCGCCGCACACCCTGCACCATAGTTATATAAAGTTGATAAGATGGACGATGTATCTCTAAAAGGTGGTACTTAAATAGATTTTTTACTATATATGTAAAACCAAATAAATTTATATAAGTTATTATAACATTTTTGTTAGTCCAATTGACATTTAATCAAATTAAATGTCTGTAAATTAACTAAAATCCGACACGTCTATCGTGTGAAGTGGTCCAAAAGATGCGCTAGTATTTAATTATGGTATTAGTGTTCATTCTTTGAGTAAATAATGTAGTTTTAAATCTCGCAATATATCGACTGCCTTGATAAGCCTCATACAGTGCATTGCTACACGGAGAAAAGTGCTACATAGCGCTAAATAACGTTACACAGTGTTACATAGGCAGCGCCATATCGTCGCCTTAGAGTGAAAACCTCGCATACGCGTTATCACATAATTGTTTTTACTGATTTTTGTTGAAGAAAAACTTTAAACCTTCTTGATCAAATATATTATTAAAGTAATATAGTACCCCCGTAGTATGCCGCCACGATAAAGCTATTATATCCAGATTTAGTTGTCAAATTCGTGTGATAAACAGGCTTTTTAAAATTTTATCGCAATAGCGAACATGGCGAGCATCGTGACGTCACATTTTTGTGTCATCGCGAGTGCCGACGACCAATTACTGCAAAAGCCTAACACAGTGCCAAACATGGCTGCAAGGTCACATCTGATTTTAAAACATTTGCACAATAGATGTATCAACGTAACATTGAGACAAACGAAATGAAAAGACATTTTTTGTTTCATGATTTTCGCGGCGATGATTAAACGACATAGATAGCTATATACGCAATTTCATATCGTTGGTTCTGCAAAATGTTTAACAATAGTTCATTACCAAATAAGCAAACTTAGATTTATCAACTGAATTATATATATTGTCACGGGGAGGTTTATCACACATATTCAGCCATGATACGGCCACGGAAAGAATAATTTAACTAATTAAAATGCTAACTACAAACATTATTGCGTTTGCGACATTTTACACCACATTTTTATCTTCGTCCTGAAAAATTACATAGAAATCGCTTTAAGACTACGATATAATGCTATACACAGAACAGTACTGTGCTACATAGCGCCAAACAGTATTTACTACACAGCGCAACGTCGAATGTTGCATGCCACACAGTTACTTTTAAATATCATCTACTTCGTAACCCGAATTCTTACTTATAACTTGTCAAAATGTTTGAAAATCTGCCCAAATAAGTGTTTCTCCATATTTAATGGTAAAACAACTCGGTAGGCAATAGCACGAGGCCGTAGCCTTTATATATAATTTTTTACAATAAGTGTTAATATAAGGTAGTGGTAAGTTGATAATGATAACAGTGCCAAATATGTTTATACGCACAAACGTTGCCGTTTAATTCTTAGGGCGCCTTCAAACTAGATGCTTATAGTGAACTAAAATAACTGAAGCACTACAGATGCGCTGATGACGCGCCACTGTAGCGCTTCTACAAGCGTTTAATTTGAAGGTGCTCTTAGGATCGTATTCCAGAACACTACTCAATGCTCAAGTCAGGATTTGAGCAGACTTGAGCATGATTTCAAGCACTGGAAATACGACTCTAATGGCAAGGACTTGAGTATGATTTCTAGTGCTTTGAATCATACTCAAGTCCTGACTTGAGCATTGAGTAGAGTTCTAGAATACGACCCTTAGAAACCAGTCTCAACATCGTGATGACATAAAACAAAAAAAGTAAGAACGACTGCTTCTACGTTGTTACAACAATTTACGAAAACTAGCGTTAACACCTCGTACAGTGACCAAACTATAGTCTCCTTGAGACATTTAACATACATTTTCGTGATTTTAGAGAGATTCATAATTAATTCATTTGTAAATTACAGGCTGTATAGAAGTTGACATGTAAGGAAAAAAGTAGGTTCACTGTGTCCGACCAAATATTAGGCCGTTTTTGAAGTCTGTTAAAAAAATTAAATAACACAAGATCTAATCAGTTGCAAAGTGAACCTTGAAATCATTTACATAAGCTTGATTTTTGTCAAATGAACAGCTGTTTTCAGTACTCGAAGTTAAAGTTACTTTTGGTTAGTTTTGACTACTTAAAACGTTATAATGCTGACTGTACGTAGGTATAATAGATAATAATAACGACTGAAATTTTTATTTCTATATTTTTGTTCTTGGAGAAATCGTAATTATTTCTCAAAGTTTGACAGATAATTCGTAAAAAGAGTGGTTAAACCACTGCAACATTGAGCCGGAAACACAGTATATGCCACTGCTCTGTCTTCTGCCTAAATGCGGCTTCCCTTGGCCAGTGATGCCAGGTGCCGTGTCACGCGCATCTGTGCGAGCGTGCTCGTGTCATTTGCCCATACATTCGAGGTACTGTCAGCCCAAATGTAAAAATATATTGACACATAAATTTTTGTCAAAATGTAACAAAAATCAATCTTATTCCAATAAAAACATGTCGTTTCAAATATTTAAAAAGTGAACCTTACATTTATGATATGTTAATAATACAATGTACCTATTTATAATTTTGGCTCACTTTCAATGTGTCATTTTTGTATTTTATCCGTTTACATTTAGATCATAGTTTCCCAAAGTGGTCCCTACCGCTGCCGGTGGGCCTAGGGTAGTCGGAAGCAATTTTAACATAATCTTTATCTTTTATTTTTTTAATAATAAATGGAAGCAATTGGTTGATGCTGTCCTGGGCGTGCTACCGCATTTGATGACAAAAATCCTGAATTATCTATATAAACTACACTACATATATAGGTATACTTTTTCCTTGTTTATTTTTTGTGGTCGTGTGAGCGTTGAATTTTTTTATTTTATTTATTTATTTTTTTTTATTTTTATTTAATAGTTTATTGTACAGGAAAAATACAACAAGTCACAAAGAATACAAGCGAAATTAAAAACAAAAGGTTCTGCTTATTTCTAATAGAAATTTCTTCCTGCAGACCTAAACACAGGACACTATAACTAAAAGAACGGGCATATGTGCACAACAAAACAAGAAAAAAAATATAAAAATAATATAAAAATATTAAATTGTTATAAATTATATAAATACTTAGATAAATACATATTTTATAATATAATACCTAAGATATGGATGGAATAGTAGATAAATAATGCTCCTTAACTCTCACTTTAAAAATAGCTAACGATTTACTTTCGTGAACAGTAATAGGAAGTGCATTCCAAAGTCTGACCGCATGAACAGTGAAGGAGTGAGAATAGAAACCGGAATTGAAGCATGGAAAAGATAACTGGGACCTAACAAGAGAGCGACAGGGTTTATCCTGGGACCTAAGGAAGCTGAAACGCTCTTTCAGGTACCCGGGAGACACAGGGTTATGTAAAATATTGTAAAGAATGGAGACAATATGCATATTCCTGCGGAGACGGATGGGAAGCCATTTGAGCTGACTGCGGAAATGTGAAATACGGTCATATTTACGAAGCCCAAAGATGAACCTTATACATAGGTTTTGCAGTCGTTCAAGCTTATTTAGCAGTTCTTCAGTAGCATCCAAATAGCAGGAATCAGCATAGTCTAAGAAGGGCAAAATAAGTGTTTGGACTAAACATATCTTGGTTTTTAAAGGTAAATCGTTTTGGAGGCGCTTAAGTGAGTGCAAGGAGAAATGGACTTTACGACTGACTTCATTAATATGTGGAGTCCAAACCAAATTACAATCCAAAAGCAAGCCAAGATTAGTTGCAGTAGAAGCATAAGCAATAGGCGTGGAATTATACGCTATAGGTGGGACAGAATCTAGATGCAATAAGCCACGCATATACCCACTTCCCACAATCATAGCCTGTGACTTTTTGGGATTCACCAACAAACCAAAACACTCAGCCCAATGAGCAATGCTTCGTAAATCAGCATTAACCGCTTCAACGGCTGCAACGACATCAGACGCTTTAAAACTGCGGTATAGCTGCAAATCGTCAGCATAGAGATGAAAGTTTGAAGACAGCACAAAAGTGACAGAATTGATGAAAACAGAGAAAAGGAGAGGGGAAAGAACACCACCCTGAGGAACGCCAGCAACTAAGTCACACCAATCAGAGGAAGCCTCGTCAGAGCGAATACACTGCGAGCGGCCTCTGAGGTAGGAGTCGAACCAAGCTATAACCGAAGGAGAAATATTAAAAGAGCGAAGGGAAGCAAGCAATACGTCAAAGTCCACAGAGTTGAAAGCACTGCTGAAGTCCAGAAGTATAAGCAAAGTGAGAAGACCATTGTCCATTGCGAGGCGAATAGCATCTGTTACCTTCAACAGTGCAGTCACAGTGCTATGGCCAGAACGAAAACCTGACTGAAACGGGGAAAGCAACTTATTAGAAGAAAGATACAACATTAACTGCTTGTTGACAATGTGTTCGAGGACTTTGGATAGAAATGGGAGAATGGAGATGGGACGGAATTCGGAAAGGCAAGTAGGGTTTGACGTTTTGGGTAAAGGTATAACATGGGCGAGTTTCCAATGAGAAGGGAAAGAACTAGCTTCTAAAGAGAAGTTAAAAACATGAGTGAGGATAGGGACAAGTTCAGGGAGTATGAGGCTAATCATACGGGAACTGAGATCATCATTGCCAACAGCAGTAGAAGAAATAGAGAGAATATGAGTTTTGACCTCACATTCGGTAACAGTCCGGAAGGAAAAAGAGGTACATGCAGGTAAAGTATAGTCAGCCAAAATGCGAAGGGTAGCGCTTTTACGATGCTTATCTAAAGTAACAGGTGGTAGGGAAAAATGTCTATTAAGCGCGTTAAGATCAGGAAGGGACGAATCACCAGAAGCGGTGGAACGGCCAATCCCAATGGACTTTAGGAATTTCCAGATCTGAGTGGAATCGCATTTCTCAACGTTATCGTGAATGTGCCGTCTCTTAGCATCTCTACACAAGCGACTACAGCGATTACGCAGGTATTTAAAACGAGCTAGGTTGTCATCTGTAGGAAGCCTCTTCCAGCGTCGTTTCGCCTTATCTCTGAGAGCCATAGCGATCTTAATATCTTGTGATAACCAGGGGGCAGGTGCATGTCTGATTTTAACCCGTTTTAAAGGCGCATGGCGATCATAAAGCCTTAATATAATTTCATTGAGCAAAGCTACCTTCTGATCAATAACTACGCAGTCCAACACAGGAGTCCAGTCAATATTACCCGCCTCACTCTTGAGCGCCTCCAAATCAATGGCCTTGAAATTTCGGATAATACGAAATTTCGACTTACACTTAGGAAAACGAATTTTATACGAGAGAAAGACAAGATCATGATAAGAAAATACAGAAGAGAACTGTCCATGGGAAGCACAATGTTCAGGGGACGAGACTATCATAAGATCAAGAAGAGATGGAATGCAGTTGGGAAAATGATGAGTAGCAGACAAAGGTAAAATAAGCAAGTTGACAGAAGAAATTAGAGAAAGTAATTTATGGGCACGACTGTCATTTTTTAGTAAACACGTGTTAAAGTCACCCATTAAAATAGTGTGATCAAAGGAAGGAGAATGGTCGGAGAGTAGACACTCAAGGGACTGAAAGTAGTCGATATTAAGGGAGGGGCTATAAAAAACTGCAAGGAGCACTTTCTTGTGATGCAAGGAAATGTTTAAAAATAGGTGCTCCGCGGAGTTTGAATATGAGTTAGGAGAAGCATCAACAACAACATGTTGAATATCAGCTCGTAGATATACTGCCACCCCTCCACCACTTTTACCCGTCCGGTCATTCCGAACGAGCTTAAATCCGGGAAGACTGAAATGAGTAGAAGGAAGAGAAGGTTTTAGAAAAGTTTCTGATATAAGAATAGCGTCAACAGGAGAATCTATGAAAGAAGCAAGAAGGTCAGAATAGTGAGAGGGGACGCTTTGAGCATTGATATGAACAACATTGAAATTTTTGGGGAAATTGCAGAAGGCTGAAGATAACTGATCATGCAGAGTCAGAGCTATGGAATCATTACTGTCATCAGCACTAAGAAAATGGCTTGGAGATGAGGAGCACGAGTAAAAACTATCATTTATCCCTAAAGTAACATCCATATTATTCATATGTTCAATTAATTAACTCAAAAATAAAATATATTATTAAATTTAAAAAATATATGAGTAATAATACATAAAAATATAGTATATAAAAAAAAACCAACGTACAAACTATAACTAAAACAACACCGAACCATCAGCACTCGCCGTAGAAATAAAATATAAACATGAATAAAGCAACATAATGCAAGAGGCCGTAGCCAAAAAATAATAAAGTTAAATTCATTGACAGTTGACAGCTGAGGTTTAATAGAATAAATTTAAATTTAACAAGAAAAAATTAACTTCTATAAAGAAGGTGCTATGTTACCTACCACACAAATAAGATAGAAATACCTACATATAGTGCAAAAATTAATTTAAACACAAAGAAGAAAAAAACAATAAAAAAAGAAATCAAATTACAAGAAACAAAAATCACAATCACAATTAGTGCAACCTCCGGCGCGACTTAGCAGCTGCAGAACCCTTCGTCGATTTACTTGCAGTCTCCATCGGATTTACTGCAGCCTGTGCGACGTCAGTTTTCCCAGCTGCAGCCGCAGGGAATCGGGCAATCAGGGGCCGAAGTTCAGCCATGGCCTCCACTTTCATTCTGGTCTTATCAGGAAGAACGATCATGATTTTCCCCTCTGTAGACCAGCACCGATTAATACCGAAGTGTTTACGAGCTGCGACAAATGTGGAGTGCCTCGCCTTAGTCAGAAACTCAGATATGGTGATACCAGAGCCCTTCAACGCAGTTTTACTGTCCCAGACAGATCGGCGGAGTTCGAAATCACCAAATCGAACCAGCACAGCTCTAGGTTTACTTTGTGAGGATCTCCATGGTCCCAAACGGTGACAGGCCAGTAAGTGTTTTTCATGGATTTCCGCTAAATGCAATTGGTTATGCAACAATTTCACAATTACTGGATTTAATTGTTCTTCCTTGTTCTCAGCTACACCATGGAAAAGCAGGACCTTTTTGCGCAAAAATGTTTCATGGCGGTCAAGACCCAAAGATATAAGCTCAATTTGAGCCTTAAGTTTAGACATAGTCTGAAGTACAAAAGACTTGAACTCACTGAAGTCCCGGGAAAGCGATGCAATATTGCGGTGAGCAGGAGAAGTTTCCGAAGCCTGGAGTTTGGCCTCATAGTCCCCCATTCTTGACTCAAACATCTTCTGTAAGTCGTCCAGGTTGGCAGCAAGTTTGGCTGACAGGTCCATTTGTGAAATTTTGTGCACAAAGTGTTTAAAGTGGAAAGTTGATTGTGTGGCGAGTGAGATAGGTCAGTGAACACAATTAACTGTGATTATACATAAGAAAATACTAATGTAAGTAATTAAAATTACAATTTTTATCTAAGTGGGCGGCAACTCAAAAAGTTTGGGAACATATGGTGTAGATCATTGTTACGCAGACTGTTATAAAATAGATAATAAATATGTACTGAATAAATAATAGAGTTCTCCAAATGAAGGTTACATTTTCTCTTTTTGTTTTTAAATCATTGGGTCATTGACATTAATAACATTAATGCCTTTAAAGGTTTTTAAAACCTTTATAGGCTTTTAAGAATTTTTAAAACCTTTATAGGCTCTTAACAATTTTTAAAACCTTTATCAAAGCATAACTACAGACGGCATGTTGCATCATGAAGCATAAAATTTATGAACGTTTGCGTAATTAGGCGTAATGGTTGACTTAGAATATCTATGGTAACGCCCTAAATAGCGTGTCGTAAAGCGTTAATTACGCACGTTGCTACTGATCTGATGTTACACACACGTTAAATAAAAATAACCCATTACTTTCTTTAATTATAAGTGTAATACGTAACTGAATCAAATAAAAGCTTGTAACAATGTTAATGATTTATTTTTATTCATCATCATCAATTTTTTTACAATAAGCACATAGAAACTACTATAGAATTGTATGTTGAAACATTTTTATGATTATAGTGAAGTTTTTAAAAGTTCTAATGATAACATAATGTATAATGATTGATTACATTGCTTACCACAAATGAATATTTTTTGTTTAAATGTATATTAAATACCTTATAAACTAATATGACACAATACAGATGAAATGCAGAAGCTAAAACGTATATTTTCTACCATCTGCAAGGGTTACACAATATGCATACATTTCCTAAGCTGGTCCGCTGGTTGACATTCAAAACCACAGAGAGCAAGCAAGGAAATAAAAAAAACTGGGTAAGCTGGGTAAGACCGCGAAGCAGTAATGCGAGTGTCACTGCGTTCCGGAGGGTGCTAGTGAAAACTTTAATGGCGCCTTGAAATTTAGAGGCTTTTAGAAGTGCCGCTTCAATAAGTATTAGTCGTTTATTCCCATAGTCAGTTCCAAGTCGAAACCAAAAGTTCCATATATTGAACTAGTGAGAATAAATTCAATGTTTTTGTCTTTATTTTCATTAGTTGCATATATAGAGAGATTCCTGAAGCTGCACATCATAGTTGCTTTTACCATTTCTCAAATGCTATTTGAACAGAGGCCAAAAAATTAAATTTGGTTAAAACTAATGATTTAGGATAAATTGTTAACCTATAAATAATATAAAATAATATAAAAGTAAATAATATAAATGTGGTAGTTTCTTAATTGTGACTGAAAAATGGCACGCGCGCTTCATGAGTAAGGTGATTTGAAAAATAAATCTACTAACACTAATTTATAAACACTTTTCTTATTATTATTGCTAACAAATTATGGAACTAATTGTCTGAAATAAAATTATTTTATTTTATTTTTATTATTTAGTCGACTACAGTCGCAATAAACTAGATTTAGTCGCTGTTTCACTGTCTACGCTGGAACAAGCTTATTCCTGCGGCACCATTTTTTAATCACGAGAACGGCAGCTCCTAGGCGAGTACTAATTGCACCCAGAAAAAAGAAGTGAATTAATCGGTTCTAGTCTCTCTGAAAACGGTTTTGTTTTATATAATAACAAGTAATGGGACGAACTAATCGCGCGCCTGGTGGTAACACGCCTGTAGGGCTAAAAGGGTCGTACTGGCTGAATCATAATACGATTAATTGACAATTCATATTATGAATTGCTTACATTTCATATAACGCAATTCATCTATTTGACAGTGTTATATGGAGGTCTCCATAGAGCACTGTCAAATAGATCAATTGCGTTTTTTGTTTTGTTTGAAAATTCATAATATGAACTGTTAATTAACCATATTATGATTCTGCCAATGCGGCTTTTTAAGCCCTGCTCTTCACAGTAGTTGCAGTGCTACTGCACCCGTTACCCTAAGACATAACTTGACAAGTCCCATGCACCTGTAATTTCACCAGCACCCTTACCCTTCAAAACCCGAAACGCAGTAATGCTCACATTACCGCTTGGCGGCAGGTCTAGGTAAGGTCGCAGTACTTCCCTAGATAAACCCTTTTACAAGGAGATCTACTGCTACTGCAAGGGTTGTAGCATTGACTTACAATTATATGGACGTCGGGTCCGCGCTAAAAAGTGTCCGCACTTGTAAGGCGCTAAAATCGTATACAGAGCGCTACACTCCGCTTTAGTCTTCATTTGTTCGACTGACAGCGCGATACTGCGATGACATTACAATTTAAATTTGGAATAGGTTGACTTGGGACATTTTTTTCGTGGTTTTTTGTATTAGACCCGTCGTCCATTTATTTGTAAGTCAATGGGTACGCGTGATGCTTTATACCAGACACAAGACTTATTCATCCCGTCACTAATGACCACTTTCACTACACTTAAGTTTTTTTTATATAAAAACAAGTTATCGACTAATTTTAGAATCTTTAAACCTCTTATAGAGCTGTCATTTTGCAGATGTTGCCTTATTTTGTGACACAAGTGTGAGATATCGCTTTATTTTCAAATATCGTGTCGTAAAGCGTTGTAAGCGTGTGTTGCGTACCGGTCGGTTGTTACCATGAAAACGAAATCTTAACAAAATAACCTATCGAATACTTACTTTTATTATAATCAGAGATCTGCAGAACTAAAAAGGGTATGATTAATTGACAATTTTTTTATTAATGATTATTCAAACAAAACAAAAAACGTAATTCATCTATTTGACATTGTTCTATGGAAACCTCCATAGAACAATGTCAAACAGATGAATTCCGTTATATGAATTGTCAACTAATCATATTATGATTCTAGCAGAATACGGCATGAATGGTAAGAAATTCATAATATGAATTGTCAGTTAATCATATTGTGATTCTGCTAACACGGCCTTTTTAGCCCTGCAGAATAAGCTAAGTATATTAACCTAGAATGTTAATACCTCTCTTTGAAATACCTGAATTATTGTATTATGTTTCATATTTTTAGAGTGTAACTAGAGATTAAGAGCCGGATTACATTACGATGGTATTGTGTATAGGTAGAAGAAAAGTTTTGTAATTGTAAGTGGAAATTCAATGTTGTTTTTTGTCCTTAATATTTGCTCATTTGGGATGCACGAAAGTAACCTCCACGCAAAACGTGCCATCCTTTTAAAAGTACTTTACATCGTTTGGCAAATCCTCTTATCACCATGGCAAGCATTGTGTACGATAATAAGTCATTTCGGGTTTTCCGGAGGAGGTATTTATTATCTACACTTGTGATTTAAAAAAATAAAATTCATCACGCTGATCTTCGTTTTATATACCTTTTAAAAATTCTTACAGCTTTATTTGAAAAAACAAATATACGCGATTTAAATCCGGAAAAATAGTTTCATTTCCTATGTGTAACAATCGCGAAAACCTAATAACTCGATATCTTACAGCTTTGTTGAAAATAATGACCAATGAAAATATTTTATTTTTTCCCCTCCTATTTTTAACCATTCCGGGATTTCAGAGGGAGGTATTATGCACTCTATGTGTATCACTTAAATTTTAGTGTCTATTCCGATCTTTGATCGTAAGCGTTACAACAAAGGTAGCTTAATGACACACGGGGCCAATTGACCTGTCGTTCCACAGAGATAAGCCATTCAAGCCAATCTAGTGAAAAATACAAAATTCGCAAATTCCATCTACATTTCAGCCAGTATTACAATAAGTTTCTTTTTAATATTTTGGCAAACTAGTGGAGTAGCTCAGGATGCACGTACATATAAGGCCAATTCAATGCATGTGTGGTGGGGGAAGGTAAAGTAATTCCGAAAAATTTGAAAACTCGTCTGGAAACACTCCATAATGGATTGTTTCTATTTACACGACACCAAATATCGCTTGCTTAGTGGAATGGCTCGTCGACGTCGATTGGCTAAACTTTAAATTGGGTAAACGCTCTAGGGCCTGTCCAACTCGGCGGACGGGAAGGCTGAGGACATTAAATTTTTAGAAAGAAAAAAAAAATTCAGTATCATTCATTATAAATTGTACTTACTAAATAAATTAAAACTAAAATTAAAGATACTCAATGGGCACCACTTAGCACATGCCGTGGCTGAGGCCAGACGGTGCTGGTACTATGTGGAGCCCACGGAGTGCGTCTCGCGTTTTTCAATGTATATATTTTATATTTCGATTGAAATAAGGTATAAATTGCAATGCTCTTGAGACCGATGTCGGAGTATTGCGGCGTATATCTCTCTGCGTGTTAGAACATTGAAATGTATACCTTATTTCAAATGAAATAGCATAAAATACACATTGAAAAATTTAAAGTACTCTGCCTTGACATCAGCCGGTTTGCGTTGGCCTTAAGGGTCGAAACACAAAACTGCGATGCAACGTCGCATCGCAGAAATCTCCCAGCTCGCACGACGCATCGCCTGAATTTGCGAATTCCTCCGCATAGTGCATTCGCATCTCTATACGTTCAGTACGGTTGATGATCGTCTAAAGAACGGTTACCCGAACCGTAGCACGTCGCGCCGATTAGCAGTTTTGTGTTTCGACCCTAAGAAATACAATATCAAATAAGGAACAAATGAAAAAAAAAACATTATTGTTAAGAAATAATAATTCAGTAATATAGCAATTTATAATACAATGTGGACAGCAGAAAAACGCTGGCGAGTCATATTTTGTGCTTCGTCACTTTGTGCAACTTTAACTTCCGTCATATTGTTGTCTAAAAGTCATATTCCGCCATAGAGAATATAAAATACAATAAAGTAGACAATCATGTCAGTTATTCTGTATCTGATTAACAGTGATCGGAATTGCATCTGCATGAGGGAGGGTGGCCGATGGAGCAGATTATCGAATGGCTGTATACGTTTTTACAACAAGATTCCGGAGAATATATTAAGATTATCATTTCCTAAGTTTAAAACATTAAAAGTATTTTAATTGAAAAATCATATTACAAAATTGAAGAGTATGTTTTAGATAGAGAAGTATGGAAAGACAACAAGAGTCTAGATTCCACACAATTATGATTCAAAGTGTTATTCCATAGCATTTAAGTTTATTTGAAAAGAGCAATCCCTAGAGTTTCTTGCTCGTTCTTCTCAGGGAGGTGTGGGAGTGACTTAGTGAACGAGCAGTAGCTTAAAAAATGACGGTTTCAAGTGTAAAAATGTTACCTATGGAATAAATTATTTCAAGGAAACCGTAACGATAGCTGAAATATCATTAAACAATTCAAATATTCTAAAGCTGGGTTATGATTTTTTAAGATATCTCAAAAAAAAACAAATTTTGTCACTTAACCGCGTTTTAGCTAGCGGACGGCAGTTTTCGTTACTCAATTTTTCGCTTAATTAATTAATTTATATTAAAAAAAATACTCCGACGACTTTAAAAAACATGGTAACTAAAAGAAAAAACCCTGCAATAACCAAAATATACTGGATACGAATTTCAAGAAGTCACATTATACTTCGATGACGTTGAAAATGCAGACGGAGAAATAAGCACCAATGACATTCAAACAACAACTGACAAATACATAAGGGACCAGTCCTGATTGGTCACTTATGTATTTGTCTTTAAGAAATTTAAACGACCCAATTGGCTTTAAGTATTAAAATTAACCAATTGCGTCGTTTAAAACTTTAATTTAAGGCTGTTCCAAATTCAAACAGACGAATCGGCATCAATGAAAACCTATCATATTGTTATAAAGTCACGTGATCGAAGAACCACTAAGTTCTATAATACAAGTTTAATTATATATAATATGAAGAACACTCAGTTGGACTACACTATTTTTGTTTCTTTAAATGTTTCAAGATTGGAAATCCGAAGATTAAAACTACTGTACCACCTTGGTGTTTAAATGATTTTGGAACCTGTCTCCTGTATTTTTAATTGCCCCCCTCATTAGGCCTGTATGTTTGTACTCCCATCATGCGAGCTTGTCGCCGCTCGGACGGAGTAGCGCCTTTACATTTTACTATTATATTTTGTGCTCTCTTCAATGGCTCCGGTTTGTATGAGGTAACGTTTTCCTAAAAAATAAAACACAGTATCCTGTAAATACTAAAGCAGTACACTATAAGTTCAATTAACATTACTGCGGAATGTATTGGATGCGAAGTTTCGTAACGACACGAGCAACACAAATAGGTCGCGTACTTTCTGCCCCTGCCATTGTATGCTAAACCGCCTTTCAAGCAAAGGCCGTGGGTTCGAATCCCGACTCGCACATCTGAGTTTTTGGGAATTTATGTGCGAAATTGAATTTGAAATTTACCATGAGCTTTTCGGTGAAGGATAACATCGTGATGAAACTTGTGCGTTGAAAAAGGTTCACAACCATCGGAAACCGTGTCAAGTCTCCAACCCGCATTGGGCCTGTGGCAACTATGGCCTAAATCCTCGCCTAAGAGACCAGTGCCCGTGCACAGCACCAACAGTGGGATGTATAAACGGGTTGATGGTGATGTATCTTCCGAAGAATTCGGGAATTCCCGCAGGTATTGTATCGTATATATTAGTACGTTACCACACCCCGGTCACTCTATACAACGGTAGAAACTTATTTACCTACTACTACTACCACGAACAAAACGCTGTCTGCACACACGTTAATGTGTGCTTGAAGTGGTAGAGTTATCCATCACTTCTTGTAATATTTCGATACCTCCAATGAATACTAGGTTAACATAATTTTTTTGGTCATTTTCTGTTTTTTGTAATTTATTTTCCCAAATTTAGTAAAAAAAAACAAAATTCGAAAAAAAAACGAATTTGTAAAAAAAATTGCAAAAAGAACAGGTCCAGAAATTAAGTTGGCGTAGAGTTAATTGTAGGTATCGATTTACTATCTTAACGTACACAGTGACTTTGTAAGGGCAAATTAATGTATTGTATATTATAAATAATATGATCATTACGTACACTAATGTTATATTTATTAAATACTAAAACAGCAGTAAATTACGCCAGTTAAATAAAGTCAAAAGAATAACACTACCATAAATTACCCACACTAAAATTTTCTTTTAATAAAATAATAATCTCTAAATCATCTGTTATAAAATCGCGTTATATTGAAAATTCGAAATATTACGGGTTAAAGTATGAAATTGCCGTTTTATTGCAATAGGTTCTTTGAATTTTCATAGAATCTTCATGGTTTGAGGTTTTCGAATGAAACTTTTTTCAAATGGTTTCTGTGTTTTTTTTTTTAATTTGAAACATTTGAATATCGACTTTCAATTGTTTTTGTTATTCAATTTAGACAAGAAAGATGGATACTGCGAAAATTCGAGTGATTTTTGAATACGAGTTCCGACGCGGAACTAACGCAGCAGAAACAGCCCGCAATATCAATGCTGCGTTTGGAGAGGGGTCTACTAATGAACGCACCGTGCGATTTTGGTTTAAACGCTTTCGTGATGGAAATTTCGACTTAAAGAACGAGCCACGAGGAAGACCGCCCACACAGGTGAATAACGATGAATTAAGAGAGATAGTGGAAGCCGATCCTAGTCAAACTACCCAGGAATTAGCGGCATGGTTTAACGTTACCTTACCCACAATATTGACTCACTTGCGTCAAATCAATAAAATAAAAAAATACGAAAAATGGGTGCCTCATGATTTGACTGATCCGCAGAAAGAAACGCGTGTTGAAACTTGTGTTGCCTTGTTGAACCGGTACAGAAATGAAGGAATATTGGATCGAATTGTAACATGTGATGAAAAGTGGATTCTTTATGATAACCGGAAAAGAAAATTGCAATGGCTGACCCCAGGTCAAATGCCACAACAGTGTCCTAAAGCAAAACTTACCAATAAAAAGGTAATGGTAACTGTTTGGTGGTCTCAGCATGGTGTTATTCACTATAGTTTTCTCCGATCTGGTCAAGCAATAACGGCAGATGTCTATTGTGCCGAACTCCGAACCATGTTGACAAAACTAGCAGTAAAACAGCCCCGACTCATGAATCGATCTTCACCATTATTGCTCCACGACAACGCGAGACCTCACACAGCACGAGAAACCATTTTGACCCTTCAGGAACTGCAGTTAGAAACCATTCGTCATCCTCCGTATTCACCAGACCTTGCTCCAACGGACTACCATTTTTTTCGTGATTTGGACAATTATCTACGTGACAAGAAGTTTTCTTCCCAGGAGGCAGTACAAAATGCTTTCACACAGTTTGTGCAGTCTAGATCGTCGGAGTTCTATCGCAAAGGCATTAATAACCTTCCCATTAGATGGCAGCAATGTATAGATAATAATGGCAACTATTTTGATTAAATAAATTTGTTAAAAATTTAAAAAATAAACAATTTAGATTTTCAGTACAAATCGGCAATTTCATACTTTAACCCCTATTATAAACATCACAATCGTCCTTAACGAATGGCTTGTTGTTGCCGTTGTTGCCGTTGCGTCAACGTGATCGTCAATATGAGGGGTGCGGTGCGGTATCTAAAACTAGAGAGGGGCGAAGAATGACCTTTCTCGTTACTTTTTTATTCTCTGATGTTACACAATTAATTGACATAAAGTTTATTATGCCATGTAAAATTTCGTTACAAAAGTTCACTTCCATTCCATTCCACAGCACTGTAAATTAGGCTGCACAGAATTATTGTAAACTTTTGGTACGTACGTCATCCCAGCTCTCTTCGCAGTCATTTCTCGTGGATGGTTGCTGTATAACAGGGACCACAGGTCGGTGGTCATCATCGGTGATGTACACTTGGCTGTCGAAGAGGTGCCGCTTTGAGCATGTGCTTATGTGATACTGGAACAACATGAGAGTGTTACTTTAATCACTTTTGGTTGACTGTGAACATGGTCACAGTTGACCATGGTCACAGTTAACCATGACCATGGGTCCTGTGAAGGGGCCGAATCGTTGGTTTATTTAAAAAGACAAATATACGCGATTTAAATCCGGAAAAATAGGTTTGTTTCTTATGTGTAACAATCGCGTAAACCTAAGAACTCGATTTGTTATTTCTTTTTAAATTAAGAAACTACGATAATCATTATCGAGATTTCATTATACACCTTATGCGCATTTGAGATCAAAAAGAAACTATTTAAATGGCTACAATCACAAACTCATGATGAGACCGAAAAAATTTTGTTAATATAATTTTTCTGTTTGATGCTCTCCCCTTAACTTACTTAGTAATAGTATTTGCATGTATCAGTGTTTGCTAAAAGCATAATAAATAAATAAATAGAACATAAATAGAAAATAAATAAATAAAATAATAAACATATCCACTGGAAGATGGCACAAGCTACATAGGTATATGGTTTGTGCTGTTTTATTTACTATCATTACATTCACACTCTTCTCTACACATCTTCATAACCGGTTGTAAAATATTTGTAATTTTGTTTACTGTCGAAGGGTCGTCATCAGCTCCCTAAGTACAGGGTTACCCTAGTTTGGGAATTGATTGATGGCCTGTCCACTTTTTTTCCGTCAGTTTATTTACTTTTATCCAACCTAAATTGTATGTGTTTTTGTCACTTAGAGTATTATTGTTGTTTTTTTTTTTTTTTATACCTGACAGGCAAATGACTCCACTCCACCTGATGTTAAGTGGAAAGTGGTATCCAAACGCAAAGGAACCTAGTGCAGTACTGAATAAATTATTATTATTATACTTTTTAACATAATGATTGTGTGAGTTTTGGCAACAGCGATTCTGATAGTAATTGAGGCTTAACACACTTCCATTGTTTTTTTCCATGCTCCAGGTTAACAAATATGGTGTACATGCTCATTGAACGCATTCAATCTTTTTGTGTCAAGTGTTGAGGAGCATGCGACCTTGAAAACACCAAATAAAGCCAACAAACAGGACTTTTTTTATAATACTAAGCGACAGGACGAAAATGTCGTGGGCCTGGTGGTAAGTGACATGCCTGTTCATAACAGTTGCTGTGCCATTCAGAGCTTTAAATTGCATAGATCTTATGGGCATCGCAACTGCGCCCCTCACCGTGAGACATAAGTTGACAAGTCCCATGTGCCTATAATTTCACCAGCACCACAATTTCACATTACTGCTTCGCGGCAGAAATAAGTAACGTGGCAGTACTTCCCTGGACGAACTCTTTCACAAGGACCTCTACTGCTACTGGAATAGGCAAACAAGGCAAATACTTTGTCACACATGCTATCTACACTTGGTGATTGTGTGCCAAATACATCAAATACGCAAATTCAAATAGCAATGTGAAGTGCCACCATCACGTTTTCTTCCAACAATGTCAAAATAAACTATCAAACAAGTTTGACAAAGTTATCCGTAGTTCACACTTGGTCATCTATTTCTACAGCCGTACATACCCTACAATGAGTAGGTAGTATCTCTTTGTAATTTGTGCAATGAGTGAGAATAAAAAGGTTTCCGGCATTATTAACTCTTGCACTATGTATTAAAAAAAGAAATATATGTTTATTTATGGTTGCAATTAAGTGAAAAACATATATATATAATTCGATAAACATGAAAATTATACAAATTATTTGATCATTTACGGTGAGCTAAGAGGTTGTTTTAGTTAATGCGGATATTGTTTATACTTTTATTGTCCTACGATCCACATGCAAAATAGGTGCTTTGTCATAGAGTTGTGGACACTGGCCCGTTGCACCAACTTTACTTTCTATTAATTTGAGGGTTTTTATCTTTCCTTCGACATAGAATCAAGCAATCGTTTTATTAAAAATGTTGTAAGGTGTAATAAGGAAAATAACTCACATCCAACTCCACGTCGTTGACAATATGCGTAGCATCAAAGGGGCAAGTAACCTTGTTGCAATTCGGATACTGCTTGCGGCATTTCTGCAAATGAATATGCATGCGATATGTAGCCACCTGGTGAGATGCATTGTAGGGGCAGGTTTGCAGCTGTTGAGGATCAGGGTCTGCCATTCTGTGGAGTAAATAATATATCAATAAATAATCTGGTAAAAAAGACACAATTGTTCATATCACAAAAATGTTTTCATTACAATGAAGCGTAATTTGTGGTTGTCTATGTGGGTGTCAATGTTACCCCTTGCGCAGGGTGTTTCTAGTGCGGGATTAAGAGTGAGCGCGTAACATTTATTATATTTCTTTTTATTTAATTTTGATGTCGCAACAAACTGTTCATTGTTCAATAAACAACGTGCCGCTTGTATTTTCGAGAATTTGCAATTTAATAATGACCTTGTTAGAAGGTATTTACGAAATCATACTGTTTTCAACTTTTATCAGTTTTCTTTGTGCTACCAATTTCGATAGTTGTGTTGTGTGTCGAAGTGTTAGGTGTTGAAAAACTTACTTACTTGGTATTCTTTGGCTTCGAACTCTAAAAAGTGAAGAGATTACCAAATTTATCGCCTAAATTTGGCAAATAATTAAGAATTAACTTTTACCAGTTCACAAGTTAAAATTTGCTGAAGACTCAAATATTTTTTTTTAATTTATTGATTTTAGCTTATTGGTTTTGGCAGCATAATGGTTCGACGACAGTTCAACAAACATATCAATTAATTATTTTTCTGATTTGGAGTTCGTTGTTTTTATTTAATTAGATCTTAAAATAAACGTATACATTAAATTGAAGAAAATTGTTATTCTTAAGTAAAGAAAAACAAGTCGTTATTAAAGACAAGAAGCAATGTTGGTGTAGTAAGTGGCAAATATGAATGAGTAATAAAATGAAATTGTTTGTTCCGTTCATTCATTTGTTTTTTGGCATTTCGAACAAACTACTTTTTGAAGTCATTTGATTCGAAGTGGAAGTTCTTGTTTTAAGTGTCGGCTGTATTATGCAGGCAGTAAATAATTGAAATTTCCTTCTTAAGTCTTGAAATTCCAAAAGAAGTAGTAATCATAATGGAAGACGTTTTCAAGGATCCCACTACTTTATCCAAAGGTGTCGAACTAAAGTAAGAAAAGTTTTCGTACTTTTTGTCTCGCAACAAATCGATTTTGTTACGTCTAAATTGCAATAATTTTAACTTTTACTCTCGTTTTATATTGTAATGGAACATTAAATCAACCTTTGTATATACAATTTACAGAAACTATACTACTTCAGCCGTTCTAGTCAACTAACTGGTCCAATATTTTTACTTATATTAACGTTGTGATCCGTATTTTCTTCAGAGACCTGATGTCAGGATCAGAGTTCGAAATTGACATGGACTTCAAGAAGAAACCACGAGGCATTCTTGTCAATGGAGATGATGATTTGTTTCCAGGTTTGGAAGATGACGATGACAGGTAAGACATTTTGTTTTATTTTAAAGTTTCATTTTATTTGATTATCACAGAAACAGCCTGTTATGCTGTAATGCTTCTGCTCCTGTGGGGAGAGGTAGCACATGTAGTGTCACACTCGGCCATCTCGCCTGATATTCCCACATAATTGCACTGCTATTACAATAGTGCTGTAACTCAAAGTATGTGTAATTTAATATTGTATCATTACTGAAAGTAAAATTTGATTCTCTACATGTCAAAGAAACCGTTGTTAGAATATTGTAAGAAACAATCAAAATATATCTACTTAACTCAAAAAGAGACACACTTTATGTGAGCTATTTTTCGCCAAAATAATCCTTATTCAATAACATGAAATTATTTTTTCCATTTTATTCTTAAATATATTTGAGAAATTGTTTAAGTGTCTATAATAAATGCTGACATATAAATTTCAATGCATTTTTTGTGGGAAATGTGTAATTAATTTTTAATCAATTTTGAGAAAGTCCTTTTTTTTCAGTTAATACACTATTGTATTAACAGTGCCATATGGTGATTGTATTTTTGAATGAGAGTAGATTATAAATACAGGGTAAACCGAAACTCAATGTCAAGTGGCAAGAAACATCAATTCTTGTTGATATAACAGTCGATGAATGTAAACCACAATAAGGCAGCAAATTGGTAATTTAAGTTTATTAAACTAGCTGATTGACACAAGAGACTTTGGAGATAGTTGGCATTTTTCAGATTTCAAAAAATTTATAACAGGCATCTTGCACACACCATGCAATCTCTTCTCTAACAGTTCTAATTAAAAAAAAATCCAAGTTAAGTGATAATGGGGTATGTATGTTTTTGAAAATGTTAAAAGTCATCGCTTTAGACCTACACCTTTTACACTACAGTAAAGCCAATGTAAGAGCATTGAAAACTATTACTTATCACAGTATGAGTTTTTTTGAAATATAGTCCTTTAAAAGTGACAAATATAAGCAAGGTTTTACAATGGTATGCCATCTGGGAGACCGAGCATCTCCATTGCCATAGAATTGCAATTTTTGAGACTACAAGGGTGTGAAGCTTTGCAAATGATACTTTTTAATATTCCAAGTGCAGGGTGAGAATGCCATGAGCCAATTTTGTATTATTTTTTCAATCTTTTTTATGCTTTCGACCTCATCATCGCTTTCCACCAAATGAGATGGTGGTCAAATGCACACTTACATTAGAATAAAAAAAAACTTAGAAAAATAATTACGACTTAAAAAATAATTATTAAATATTGACATGGTTAAATATTTTTTGTAATAAAAAATGTACATTTTTTTATTGCACTTATTTTTTAATACAACTTGTTATTGTATATCGTCTGAAAAATCTTGCCGAAATTACCCCGTGCGCAGCATGACATAACTGATACGTAAATTAACACTGTACCTCAGGAACCGATTCATTTAAGCAGTAGGCCTGTAAAGGTACCTGTTAATACAGCTCTATATTGTCTATGTTTCTTTTTATTTCAGTGATACGGAAGACTTTCTCAAAATTATAGAAGAATCGACAGAAAAAAAACTGCTATCGTCTCCGGAGTACCTGTCTTTCGAGGAGTTGACTACCAAAATGGTGGACGTCATACCGAGCGGAGAGGTCAAAATGAGCATTGTGGAAGAAGGTGATTTTCCAAAAGTACACTTTTATTTGAATCTAATTGCGTAATAGCGTAACAATTAGTAGCAGTAGAGCTCCTTGTGAAAGAGTTCGTCCAGGGAAGTACCGCCACCTTACTAGGTCCCACTTTTGAAGGGTGTTGGTGAAATTATACGCACATAGGACTTGTCAACTTATGTCTCAGGGCGACGGGCGCAGTGTCAGTGCTCATAAGATATTTTTGCGATCTAAAGCTCTGACTGCCACTGCAACTAATGTTGACAGGCGTGTAAGCGACCAGTTACACGATGCGAACCGAAGGCGTTACCACGCCTACACGTATATTACTGGCGAATCTGAATTCTGTTTACTAGGCAACAACATTTAAATTCCTTGAAACAATACAACCGCGCGGCCGCCGCGTAGACCTAAGGCCTTATTCAAAGTGGCGGCGGGCGCGAGTGCGTTTAAATCAAATGTACGTAGACGCTCGTTGCGTTCACCGCGCGCATCGGCGCCTGTCTCGAAGCGGGCGCGGACGCGGGTGCACGCGCGGGGGGGGGGGGGGGATCTTTTGGCTCGGTCCGCCCGTACCTTTCACAGTGCTTGGTCTAGCGTGTGTTTGCGATTTTGACGTGTTGATCTACCTGCTCGTAGCCGTTTCGGTACTGTGAAAGGGAAGACGCCAAGACCTGCGCACCCGCCACCGCTCCCGCGCCTGCACTCTGAATGAGGCCAAAGACAAGCCAGACTCGCCCGCGCGCCCGGGACGCTCATTTAAGTTAAAACGCAAAAGCTAAATAAATAGAGCGTATTTTGTCATGACAGTTAGATTAACGACGTCGCGCGGGTTTATTCGACAAGCCACTGACTCTAAACTCTACTAGCAAACCTGCCCTTTGTTGGCGGAGCTATAAGGCACGATCACTTCCAACGCCGAAAAACGCCGTCTCTCCGGTTCCCTATGATGCACCATTTGGTATACGAATATTGCAAACATAATTAATTATCCACATGGACCGTATAAAATAACAAAAAAAAAAAAAAATATGTACAATATTGTTAGTACTATGTAAGAATGTCAAATTTAGTTATTAATGTCCATACTAGTTAATAAGATTGAAACAAATTCATTCATTCAAAAACTAAATTAATTACAAATGTCAATCTGCAACGAAGGCGAATAAGATTAAGTTATAATGTCATTCAAGAAATCGTTGATGTCATAGTAACATTTATCTATTAATAAATTACTCAACACATTTTGGAACTTACGCGTCTCAAGTGATTTTATACGATCTGGGATTTTAATATATATGACCGGTGCAAGTTGAACAACACTCTTTCTAAGTAGAGCTGTTTTTCAGATCTTTGTGCACAATACCTGTGGCCTTAGACGTAAGTTACGATTCTTTACCGTGGGTCTAATTGTGAAGAAATTTGGGTTCATTTTGACAAATTTAGAGATTTCTAGTACATACAGGCAAGGAAAAGTCAACAGCCTTAGAGACTTAAAATGGACAACAGCTTTCCGTATATTTTAGTTCACAAATTGCTCGTATACATCGTTTTTGAGCTCTAAAAATTGTATTTCTGTAGCTAGAGTTGCCCCAAAATATGATTCCGTATCTTAAAGTTGACCCTACGAGACCATGATACGCCTTAATAATCGTTTGCCGGTCTACCGTTTTTGATCATTTATACAAGGCGTAAGAGAATTGGTATGGCACAAACGTTTTGAGAGTGAGATTCGAATGACATATTTTTGTCTATACTTACTCCAAGGAATTTAGTAGCGTCAACCTTCTCTAGGCAAATGTCACTATATTTGACACTTATATCTGGTATACTCAATCTTTATTCAAAATGCATTATTTGTGTTTTATTTAAATGTATCTTTAAATTATTATTATTCATCCAGGCTATAAGACTTTTGAGAGCAACGTTAATTTCATTTTCATAATGTTCGTAATTATTGTTCAAGCATTCAACATTTACTATGCTATCGTCTGCAAATAATATTAATGGATATTTAGTATTTTTTGGCATATCATTAATATATGTTAAGAATAGTAGAGGGCCCAGTATGCCACCTTGAGGCACCCCATATTTCACGGCTCTACATTTCGATCTGAACTTTCTAACTTTAGTACATATTTGTTGAAACTCAGTATACTGGTATAGATTTGCCAAATAAGATTCTATAAGTTTCAGGGCGTGCCCTCGGATCCCATAGTGATCAAGATTTTTTAATAATATACAATGGTCCATGTAGTCAAAAGCCCTTGTTATGTCCATAAAAATAGCGGAGGTGGGAATTCTTTTATCTAAGTTCGTGTTAATCTTGTACACTAGGTCATAGATCGCTACATTAATAGACATATTTTTTCTAAACCTTTTCGGCTCATTAGTTAAGATATTGTGCTTGTCATACAAATTTTGGTATATAACTTTCTCAAAGATTTTCAGTCTCTCCGGAATACCCTATCTCTCGAGTCGGTAGATAGGAACAACTGCTATGGACAGGCGTTTCATCTAACACCAGGCGCAAGACATTTCTCCATCATATTTTTTTTTAAAGTAGGATTTGCATGGCCGTTTCTTCCCTCTCCTTACAAGCTCTGCATAGAGGGCTGACCGTGATATCTAAATTGAAAGGTGTTTATTATATCGACCATGCGGCAGTTAGAGTGCTCTTGACTTTTGAGCTTAAGGAATTTTCAAGGTAAACTGGCGCTGAGCGTTGGGAGTACTGCCCTACCTTGTCTACGACGAGATAATTGTAAAAAACTTTTCATAATCTCACTAACACATCATCACCTCTGTACTGGACTATATCAATGAGATTTGGGTGGTTCCTATCAAAGAGTGAGCAAGACCAAAGTAAACGTTCTTACAACGCACTGCTATCAATCAAAACAGAAACAATAGTCAATAATGAGAAAAGGCGCCAAAAACAAATACAATTAAATTTAGAATTTAAATATAAAACTAAACTATAACAAAACAAAAGAGATTTGCAGCGACTACTGCGACTCGCTATAATCTCTTTAAACTGAAGTGACGTCTGTATAAATCTCACGGCTAAATATTGGTCTCTTTGAAATGAAAACCTGATGGTAAACTACCATTTAAATTGTGACCTTTCAGGTGACGGTCCATTGGTACCAGTAGATGCTCAAGTCACGCTCCATTATGCGGCATACTGGGAAAAGGCCAAAATTCCCTTCGACTCTACACTCACTATGAACTGTGGGGAGCCGTTTGTAAGATTTCCAATTATTTTATTACTACTTTACTACATCATGCAGGATATAGAACGTAGACTTTGACTTTATTTTTTGTTAAAGCGAGGTATTTCAACGCGAATCCATTTTATGAGGTTTTGGGGTCGGGTCGTACTTCGCGTCTCGCGTCCAGATTGTTTCTTTTGTTGATAAATGTCGCAAAGTCATTGAAATAATGATTATCACTAATATCAGGTTTCTTACCACGGTTTGACTTCTTTTTCTTAACTTAACTGAATCAGTTTCGCGTGTGGATACAGTGAGTGTGGTTTGTGTGAAAAAAGTGAGTAACAATGGTAATGCCACAACAAATCGAGATCAAGGTAGTGGTTACAGCGCAAGAGGGTAGACAGATATGTCTGCTCTTAAAGCTGTCATCTGCCGCCGTCCAGTCAACCCGTGAGCATGGAGCGTGCAACCGTTCCGTATTATCGGGAAAATAAAAAGAAGTCATACCGTGGTAAGAAACCTGATATTAGTGATAATCATTTAGTGAATAACCACGAGTCTTAAAATGAATATATCATTGAAATAATGTTTTAATTCAATACCAAAGAAAATTTAAAGCTATTTCGTGTAGATAGATTCAGTGTGAATGTACATTTTTCGGGTTTTATTTTAAATACATTACACACAAAAATCAGCATCTGAGGATAGTGCAATTACGCGTACCTATCATTGGATTATGAGTTTCCATTTCGGTAATCTAGTGGCCAAATCAACTCCGCGTAAATATTGTGGCAACCAAATTAGCGTGATTTACGGGAATCTAGTGTTATCAGTCCGTAGACAACGTAAATTAATGCTTACTGTGCAAAAATTAAAATCGTAGCCATTGAAATAACAAAGTAATAACGTTAAATCCCTTTCTCTCTGTCTTTTTCTTAATCTTTACCAATATTACATGCGCGGATTTGCACTATCCCCGATTTGCTGAAGTTAATGTAAAAAGTCAGTCAACTAGAGATGGGATTATACTCGATAAATATCCGTCTAAGGATAAATATCCATCTAAGGATAAATATCCGTCTAAGGATAAATATCCGTCTAAGGATAAATATCCGTTTTTACTGAGTATTTATATAAAACATATAAACATATATCCTACAACACACAGACACAAAGTTATCAAAATAACTGGAGCCCTTGAACTGACCTATCCTTCGTTAATAAAGTGCGACCTAACATTATGGTCTTGGGGTCTAACTGCGTACTAAATAAAGTCATATTTGGACTTGAAATAGCCTAAGGATTCCCTTTCACATTTCACACACAAAATCTATTAATTAAAACACATGATATAAAAAAAAATGTTTATAATTGTGTAGGTACACATAGTGTTTTAAAAATAAACTTTGTTTTACTAAATATAAATAATAAACCACGATTAAAAATATTTATCTACGTTTTTGAATAAATATCGAGTAAAAATGGATATTTATCCTGAGTATTTATCCCAGTGATATTTATCCATGACCCATCTCTACCCTGGACTGAAGACAGATTGTTGTTTGGTCGGCCATATTTGTTTACCTATTTGGGAAAGAGTGGGGATAATGACTTTGATAACTATCATTTGTATTGTTACAATAATTTTACTGTACATTCTGTTACAATAAATTAGATGACCAATGTTATTCTAGTGTCTTCGCCTGGGCTCAGGCCGATTTCTCCCCGGCCTTGAAATAGGCTTGACAGCCATCCGCGGGCCCACCGCCCGATTCCACCTGCTCCTACAACCTGCGATGGCCTGGGGCAAGCTTGGAGTCCCACCAAGGATCAAACCTGAGCCAGTATTGTTTGTCATCGTGCTGTATGGTGTCACTGATCAGTATGCTGTAAGCAGGTAAGTTTACATTCAAAGGATAGTCAGATATTCTATTGTTTATGCGCTTTATGATTGTATGATGACAAACCATTCTAAATAAGCTGTAAGTATTATAGTGGGATTTTTAATTTGATAGTTCGGGTTCGCGGAGTAGCAAATTAATTCCATTTTCATTCCATCCACTTCCATTTTTGTTAACATGGACTTCCGCAAAGTAACGGATGAATCCATTAATTACTTTATTTAGATAGGTATAATAAAGTGACATTTAGTGGGTTGCCAGTTATTGATGGAATAAAAATAGTGTTGTCTCAAATAAACGATCTCACTACTCACTCAGTAGGTTATAATTATTAATCCAGGCTGATCTTTGTGACAGTTCATAGAAATGTACACAATGTAACCTTGTAACGACGTGCACTAATTTATGTATTTCATAAATATTTTTATAAGTCTCGCATTTAAATGAATAGCCTTTGTTTAAGTAAATACATTAAATTAAAGTATTAATCGCAAACACCAAATCAATGTTAATTTGTGAGAAATGAGCGGAAAAACTTTTCTTTTATTAATTATTTTTTTACGATATCGTGGAAGGGTTACTTTATTTTCATTACACTTCATTTGCTAAAGATGAGTTAAATCGATAAAAAGTTTTCGAGAATTAAATGAATAAATATATAGTGCGGTTATTCATTCTTAAAGTATGAACTAATCATATGAAATGAATTAACATGTCAGTGTTGTTACATAAACGTTTTTGAATAAACATCTATTGAAATTGCATTTGAATTATAGTTATGTTTTATGCCTTCGATATAATTCAAAACACTTCATACTTCGCTCAGAATACGTCAGAAAAATACTAATTATAAGCAACTTTATGAGAGTACTTTTGCTTCAAAAATCAAATACACTAAAAATCGATCGACCTCATTTCTGTGACAAACGTCAAATGTAGTGTCACAGGGATCATACTAGTTTGCGTCTAGTATATTTATAAATGTAGCTATCCGCACCAAAGTTGTGTAACCCACGTTAAATTATTTTTTTTACAATATTATTTTCAATTATATTAATTTCCAAATGTTAGTTGACCTACTTTAAGAAGTAACAATTATTTTACAGATAACGAAACTGCTATAAATAAAGTAATAAACTATCTTTTAATTGAATAAAAACAAAGTCATGTTTATTTTTAAATAAGTACAAAATTGTATATTCAAAGTAGTTGTTCGGAACTAAAGCCTCTCTATGAATGTCATGTGAAATGTATGGGAGCGTTAACGTTAAAATTTTGAATATTTCTAGCTTTATTTAAAAAAAAATTGTTAATATCGTTTTACTCATTAGATAACGTACTTTCGATACCAACTTAAGGATTTTAGTATCCAATAAGTTATAGCGATCAAAGAAATAATATATATTAATTTATTATATTAGGAATAGCCATAAAATAGTGAAATGTAAAAAAAATGTGTTTCTTTTTTTTGTCATGCTGTAGTTTGCTGTTAGTCGGCCATATTTATTTATATTATTTTTAGACCACGGACTTTTATCTGCTTAATTATTCTATGATAAGTTTTCTTTTACAGATTCAACGACCTACCTTCACAGGAGCAATCAAAGTTCGAAGTGACAATTCGCACAGTAAATTCCCTCCGCACGAATGCGAAAGACTTATTCCAAAGACATAAATATATGAAATGCATTAAAGATTACCAACAATCAATAAATATTTTAAACGTGTCACGCCCAGAAACCGAATTTGAAATTTCTGAAATTAAAAGATTAAAAATATCTTCTCTCCTAAACTTGGCTGTATGTTATTCGAAACTGAATAAAGCAAAACATGTCATACAGATGTTAGAAAATTTAGACTACTTAATAGATGTTGACAGTCATTGCAAAGCGTTGTTTTATTACGGTAAAGCTAATGAAATTTTAGGTAAAACTGAATTAGCTGTACAATATTACCAAAAAGCTTTAAAATTGGAACCAAAAAATAAAGATATAGGTAAGGCTTTGGAGAAACTCGATTTATACATTAAAAAGTCGTCTAAAAAAGAAAAAGAAATGTGGCTGAATGTTTTTAAATCGGAGTCAAAAGAGAATTTTAACGTCGATGATGATTTTCAAAATGGCGTCAGAGAATTGTTTAAAGATTTGGCGGGAAATAAGGAGTATGCGAAATTTGATTTGCCGCCAGGCTTAAAGAGTGACGAAGTTGAGTTTGTAAAGCATTTGGCTAAGGATTTTGAGGGGTTGATTGTACATGAAGAGGGTGAGGGAAGGAAGAGAAAAGTTACTATTGTTAAACAATTGTAAGGCATTTCTCAGAACTTTCGGCAGTTGTTTATATGTCATTCTCCATAATCTTACAAAGTGGAGGTCTACACTTTCGGTACATTAGCTTTAATATCTAATAGCCAGCACTAATCTCCAACAACCATAAGAATGCAGATTTTTGGCAAACTGATCGAAGCGCATCGAGCGAAGCTTTCTTGGTATTATAGCATAGGATGTAGCTCAGGTAGCGTAGCGAGAGATACTTTTAGATATAAACTGGGATTAATCTTCATAAATAAATATTTATTACGTATTTTACATGTTGATTTTTGGAAGCTTCTTTTTGAATTCCCATGATGTTCTTCTTTTTTAACCGACTTCAAAAAAGTAGGAGGTTATCAATTCGACTGTATTTTCTTTTCTTTTTTTTTGTATGTTGTTACGCGATAACTCCGGTATTTGTGAACCGATTTTCATGATTCTTTTTTTGTTGGAAAGGGGGTCCACAGTGGTCCCATTTCATTTTGAAGAAAATCATCCACCTTTAAGGGTGGCTGTTCACGCATGAAGATTCATTTTTAAAAATAGCGCCTAACTTTAATTTGGGAGCAATAGTTTTAATGGTTGATTTTGCTATTTCTCCAATTCAAGGCGTTTTTCTCTCGATATACTTTGAGTAGTGAGAACCGATTTTTATTATCGTAGTGGCGAACTAAGGGATATTTCAATAAAACTTAGCAAATAGACGTAATTCCACGTACTTTTGAGCTCGGTTTTTTTAGTACTCTGTACTGAGATTATTCTATCCTATTTTTTTAAATACATTCTAAACACAAATCTATATTCATTCAGCCAGTACTTCTACTCATAGAGTAGAGCCTAAACTACAGTATCCATTGAAATTGCACAATATACCCAAATCAGTGAACGGAATCACTCGGCCGTTCCCAATATATAATAATAATATTACATTTATTTACATTACATTACATTTATTTCAAGTGCCAATTGATTCCCTAAGTGTTAGTATATACAATGATGTGCACTTTTCTATTTTTAGTAAAAATTAAAATTTAATATATATTTGGACGCAATGTAGCCCACAACAGTGTCTATTAGAGGTCAATGTAAATGATCTTATATACACAAAAGGGTAAAAAAAATCTACAAAAAATTTAATTTGATAGTAGCAAAAAAAAAATTCTGTGGTGACAAAGACAAAATTTAAGTTTTGAATTTCCATCCATGTTGAGTATGGAAACTATACAGGATGGAGAAATTACTATTCGTATTAGGAAAAATAAAAGAATGTTTCTTTTAAAGTAAGATTAGCCATCTTAAGCATTAATGATAGTTCCCTACAAGTATCAATTTTTTTCCACCCTATATTATTATTCATTTATTGAGCATTGGCTATAGAGCAATAAGCTTAAACCGGTAACAAATAATTAAGAAAATCAAAATATAATAATACATACACTAAAAATGTTAATGAAAAAAAAACCAATTCTCCTAATTGCGAGTTATGTGGAGTAGTGGAAAGATGCATATCATTTGTTACTGGAATGTATCCGGTACGAACAATAGAGGGCGGCGTTGATGAGAGACCTGCAGGTCAACCGATCATCCGTAGGTGCTATAAATTGTATACTAAGCGCAATCCCCATATGAAATATACTAAAAAACTAAACTAAAAGGCTATACTAAAAGGCTGTTAGTATTTGTTGATTCGGCTCTCCAGCAGCGCCGCCCAGACATGTAAGCTATAGTTTAGGATACGATGAAGCTGGCATATACATTGTATAAAAGTTCCATTTTTACCATTTTTTTCCATCCTATATTTAATTGTAAAATTTTGCACGTGACAATATGCATAACTGTGAAAAACGAAAATAAGAAAGACTGCTGCAGTTTACTAGGGAATCTACATTCCGCCTAGTATTTTCTATATATCAGTTTATTATTCTGTATTTGTTGTCAGTAGAAAAAACGTCCGAAAACAATTGATGTTTTTTTTTATTAGAACCTGGAGTACCGGGATGCGGGAGTCTGGTATAAAGCCATTTTGGCCGATCTCCCAACAACTAGGTTATTCATAATTTTTGGCGGGAATTCTCTGGAGGTTCATTACTTCCGTATCACGAAATATCTCGGTAGATCGTATATGTTATCACAGTTTATTTTGCATCCATCGTGACGACCTATAATTACTATGTTTTTTAATTCCCAAAATGCTGAATTTGGTGAAATTAATTTTTAAAACATCTCAATGATCATTAAGGTGCGGAATTTTAGAGAATTAAATTCTTCCATTAAACAACACGAACAATGGTTTATGTCAAAATGACTGCCGTACTACAGCAATTATAGTTTTTCAAGTGCCATGATTTAGTTAATAAGATTGAACATTGAATGTACTTAGATTTTTTTAAGTAATCTTTTACTAAATAAATTTTCTATTTGATTTTTACTTTTTGAATTATTTATTTACCTATCGATCCTGTGCCCATTGTTGTTGTCCTTTCTATTGCCACTTATTTCCAATTCCTTCTCTATCTGTGCTTTTTTCGAGGCTGTCCCGTTAAACAGTCACTGGTAGCCATAGCTACCCTAAATTACAGTACCCTATTGGTGAACTGTTTTTCTATAAGTTTTTTTTTTTATTATTTATTAAGGCTTTGGCAAAGCCGTCAGCCTAAACATGAAGTTTAATTATGTTTCTGTAAATATGGCCGCCACAAAGAGGATAGGCAATTTGAGGCGGGGCGTGCTTGGATTGACTCGGGATTCCTTAGAAAACGGGCCGATACGGGTATTTTAGTTCGAGATTCGTATAATTTCGCGTTTTAATCTTCGATTAAGGCACAATAGCACTATCCTATTCCACTTTAAACTAGATTTCACAAAATAATTGAAAGTCAAAATAAAAACGACACTTTTCCCTCCAAAAGGTCCAGAGCGAATTCTTTTCTGTAAGCTTCTTTAAGCTTTTTTATAAACCTAACAAAGATTTTTTTTAATTTATTGAGACTGGCTAAGCCCTAAAAAACAATGACCTGTTTTTTGATTACAATTGAATTTGTCGGTACCATTTTGATTTATATAATAAAAGTTAGGCTATGTATCGCAATGAGCGGGCTTCGGCTGTAATATGACTGGGTGCGTTAAAAAAATGCATTTTAGGGACTTAATACACATTAAATTACTTTGTAGATATACGCAGGTTTGCTCACGATATTTTCCTTCACCGGAAAGCTCAAATTAAAATTTCACTTATAAATACCGAAAACTTAGAGGTGCGAGCCCGGAGTCGAACCCACGGCTCCCTGCTTGAGAGCGGTAAGCTCAGGGCCGTATTCCAGAACTCTACTCAATGCTCAGCAAGTCAGGATTTGAGTATGGTTTATGGCACTAGAAATCATACTCAAGTCCTTGCTATTAGGGTCGTATTTCCAGTGCTTGAAATCATACTCAAGTCTGCTCAAATCCAGACTTGAGCACTGAGTACAGTTCTGGAATACGACCCTCAAACCGTTAGGCTACCACGGCTGTCTTTTTATTTTTGTTGTGTACGTATTGTATTGTATGTTTATTTGGGGTTTGTTACGTGTTCTATATGATGGAAAGGTTCAATAATCAATTTAATTAATCGAATCGCGAAAGATCGACGTATCGATAGATCGAGTGACGTATTTGCGATGTGAAATTTATTTAAATTAAATAGAAATTTTCGTGAGTACTAGTGTCGCCATCTACGAACGGATAGCATAAGTAAGCGAAAGCTTATTACGGCATTGGCTGGAAGTAAATGGCAAAATAAGAACGTATGGAATCGAGACAAGTGGGTGTGTAAAGCAGATTGACATTATTTTCGTTTAAAAATCAAGTTTTCTTTTTTTTATCTTAACTGACTGACACGACAAAAGTCAAAATCTCTGACGTGTAATCATAGTTCCCATAATTTTGAAAACGTAGTCAATTTGTGGACTTGCTCGCTAATAATTTATCAAACCGGACGATTTGATAAGGATTTTAACCGATTAATGTCGACGTAGCTTACGTTTCGCAGGTAAAAGTGTTTTTCTTTTAATTTTTTCCACTTCAAAATCGCATTAACATGTTTGGTTAGAGTACGTGTAGAAAACTTTCTTTAAATTTAAATTTAGAAGTTTTTTTCCGAAGTACTTGTTTTTTTAAATATCAATTCGTTTTTAATGGTGTTGTGACAATCTTGTGCGTGTTTTGAGGAGATATTTTTTATTTTTCAGATATATAAAAATGTTCAAGTTTGTGTTATTTACTGCAATTTTGCAGTGCATACTTGCACAGCAGTATCAGCAAAAAGTTGCGCCTGGTGTGCCACCTCAAAACTACCAAGTAAGCAAATACATTGTTAATAATGATCACAGTCATTGAAACATTATAAAATAGTTAGTTTTTTCACTACTTGAAGAAGGCAAATCTTAGCCCTTATGTATAATATATCGTCCTTTAAGCGGCATATGGTACTAATCCCTGGCCACCAGAGAAGTAGACCCTCCAGCCAGAGAAGATGCTAAGAAAGATACTTTGTGGTTTTTGTGGTGTCGCCATCTCTATACCGGGTTCGAATACCGGATGGGTCAGTGTAGAAAGTAAGTTTTTAAATATCGGCAATCCACTTCAATTTGCTAAAGAAGGCAGTAGCAGGCGCAGTTGTCTCACTTTCCGACCGAGTCGACTGTCGAGTATGGTCTCAAACAACTACAAGTGTATACACTTGGTAGGTTGCTGCCTCCAACCTGTGGACCTTGTGTTTAAACGCATCATTATGTCCAAACTTGAATCTGTGATTTGCATGTGGAGATTTTAATTCTCTTGGTTTAAACAAGCATTTATTTAATTATTATGCATTTTGTTTCTAGGATGATGCAGGAATGGTATAGTATTAATTCTACCTTTTTTAAGCTCTTAAACAAAATCAAACAAATTACACAAAACAAGGCTTTGTTTGGGTTATGGAAAAAAGAACAAAAAGTGTGTTACTAAAAAGTTTTAAATATAATTTATGAAGTCACCATTTTTGTCGACATGGAATCATATTAACCCGTCATTTGTATTAGAGATAGAGACACACACACACACAAACACAGATGGTGTCCCTAATGATTTTGTTAAAAAAAGAAATTATAAATTTTTAATTTTTATTTTGTCAATTTTTTAATTTTTTTTTATTATTACTTAAACATTTCTATAAATTTAAAATAAAAAAATCAGACGAAGGTAGCTAGCTAGCTGCGCGTTAGAGACACTGTGTGGCTCTAGGACGGTACAGTATCAAAATCATTAAGGACACTGCTTGTCTTTAGGATGCGTGATCAGTTGAGTCAGACCTCAGAGAAACAGTTTTATGTCTATTTAATCATATCGAGAAAGCCTTGGTACGTTTCGCGTCGGCGGTAGGAGAGAAATGCGTCGTCTAACGACGAAACGTCTTTTTCACTCTAATTGCACAGACCTAATGATTTTTTTGACTGACTCAAGCGGAATTCGCGTTAATAAATGTAGTGACTCCCTTAAGATAAAAATTTTGAGATTTTATTTTATATCGATAAATTATTTACAGAACTACCAACCACCACCCCCGCCACCTCAACAGATGCCTCCACAACAGCAACAAGTAAGCTTTTCACTAGTTAGTGTATCTACCTATAAAGAGTGTCCCATGGTTACATGACACGGAGGGAAAGTAGTTTAAATATTGTTGATAGGATATTTCGATTCGTGGATTTCACTTTTTTCATGAACATTTTTTTGAAATTGTTTCTACAACCTCTGTGGCCGAGTGGTCTTGCACATTGCTTTACTAACTTTGGAATCAGAGTAATGTGTATAATATTGTAATTGTTTTGTCTAACATTTATTTCATAATTATTATATCACCGATGGGATTATGCAATAATTAAGAAAAAAGAACGGCAGATTCTACGCAAACGTTTGTTATTCTATCTGGAATAGTTAAGAATCTATACAACCTCAAATGGGTTTGGTTGATTCTGCATAATAGTGAGTGTTGAATCAATCATTTTATATATATATAGTAGAATTAAGAATTTACGCTATCTATTAGGTGGTGAGAAAACACGATTCCTAAAAAGTTTCACAATATAAAAAAACACAAACTTAGCTTGAAATTTACATATACGAACATTGACTCACAATTATATGGACGTCGGGTCCGCGCTAAAAAGTGTCCGCACTTGTAAGGCGCTAAAATCGTATACAGAGCGCGACACTCCGCTTTAGTCTTCATTTGTTCTACTGACAGCGCGATACTGCGATGACATTACAATTTAAATTTCGAATAGGTTGACTTGGGACATTTTTTTCGTGGTTTTTGTATTAGACCCGTCGTCCATTTATTTGTAAGTCAATGTATACGAAGTAAGTTACATATACTTTACATATACGAGTACCAATGATTTCTTCTTGTATCAACTGCACTCATCGAGTATATAACCAGAAATAGAGACGAAATGTCATTTAATTTGTTTGAAAACTATTCAGCCATATCATTACTGTGACAACTGCGCTCCGATTGGCCAGCCCGAATTCGAAACAATTGACGGGTGTCGTCAATTGTTTCACTTAAAATCGACCAGTTAACTTGAGCTTTGCTATAATGGGCGAAAATTGCAAAATTACATATTTAATATTTAATTACCAATGAAATTTGATTCCGTTTGTTTTGTAATTAGATGTTTTGCTGTTTTTCCCCACACCACCGAATGAAACAGTACGCCATTGTTAGAGATATTATCTTTATTACAATAAATACAGAATATTTTTGGAATACACGGAGACGTACACACAGGTCGGTTACTGGCGCTTCGATATTTCAGTGCCAACGAGAGTTGATGTTTATAAGTGTTGTATCACTGATGAGTTACCAGGAATGTGTGGTCTTTATTTCGTCACTATTTCTGGTTATATACTTAACTGCTACTGACATATATCAATGATTTTTTTAATATCAACAGAACTCAGAAACACATGTAGTATACGATATTTTCAAATGGCTCTAAAATTGTTTGTAAAAAAAAAATAATTCTGTAATAAAGGCCAGGCCACTCGAATCAAGCAAAATGAACCGTATTAGTACAGGAAAAGTATGTATTCGAGCTGAGGTAGTATCGACTTTTAAATGGAATATATATTTTTATGCAGTTGTTTGCACCTGTAGTAGCAGTGGAGCTCCTTTTGAAAGGGTTCGTCCAGGAAAGTACTGCCACCTTACCTATTTCTGCCGCCAAGCAGTAACCTCAGCATTACTGTGTTCCGGTTTTGAAGGGTAAGGGTGCTGGTGAAATTACAGGCACATGGGACTTGTCAACTTATGTCTCAGGGTGACAGGCGCAGTGGCAGTGCCTAAGTGGCACTTTAACGCTATGGACAGGTGTGTTTCTTAACATCAGGCGCAGAAGTTGTTCATCCTGTCACGTGATATCATAAAAAAAGCGTTCATGGGTTTAGTCACAACAGACGATCCCTTTCACAGCTTTGTAGAGAAAAAGATTATGTGACGTGGAGAGATATAATTTGAAAGATCTAAGATAATATTAAGCTTACAAAATAACATTTCTTTCACTCTTTAGCATCCTCAACAATACGCCCAACAACAGCAACAATATCAGCCGCCACCACCGCCCCAACAGCAACAGCAATATCAGCAGCAAGTGCCGGTTCAGCATCAGCAAGTTCAACAACCCGCGATGGGTGGTCACGATCCTCATGGACACCATCCCGGTAAGTCTGTAAAGTCAACCAGTTAAACAAAACTTACGGTTTAAACTTGGTCATCAACTACGTTTTAGTTGCGGACATACAGGAATAATACTTCCTTTTACAACACCCTTGAAAGAATGTGTCGGCTTTACAACGAGATTTGTATGAAAAACATAGATTTCGATATTTTTGATCCAAGATCCAGAGTATTTAAACAAGTAGCAAACAACTTGCACTTGTATAGATTTTCACCCGTTCCCTTGACGTTAGTACTAAGTAAATAAGTAAATTATTAGCAAATTTAACAGTACTTCTTTCTTGTTACTTTAGAATGATGTGTCGACATAAGTAGGGTTACAATCTAGTACAAAACTTTGTTAAATCATATTTTGTTTGTATCAATGTGATTTGATTGGTATCTGTTGTCCATATAATAAATAAATAAAAAATAACTGCTCCTTTGCTGTCACTTTCTAAGCGTGCCTACGGCTCCGGTACCTATCTGGAAAATAGGGAAGGTGCTGTACATGCACCTTTGGCGGCGCACCTAAGGCACTAGCCTCCTAAGAACCGGAAGTAGTCCGTGCAAACGGGCTGATCTGGGGTCAGAAACTGATTGAGTAGATCCCTGTGCGGGCTTGCTTGCATAGGCTATAGTGCCATTCCCTTATAACCAAGAGGTTAATTGGGAGGGTCACTATTAACAAAACTTACGTAGAAAAGATATGGGCGCTGTTCAAAGATCGTCAGTTCTTTTTCCAGTTAGTGTAACGGTTTTAGTCACAAAATGTATATTTATTTGACATCCACTTGTCCCACGGACGCATTACAATAATATGATAACCTTGATCTGATGCTGCGACCAGGACCGTCTTCAGGTTATCCAACTCACAGACTTTTTGGGGTACACAATGTTTTGTATCAGGGAGAAGGTAGGAAATATATAACGTACGCGATATATGCTACAATTGAGTTGTGTTTCCTGGTTCTATGTCATAATTTAAATTGTAGTGTACCTAGACAATCTCATTGCAAATAAATTATTTTGTATTTTTTAGAGGTTTATTATTAAAGATCATGGCCCCACCAAAGTATAAAAACTGTGTGTTTATATGAGTACTTTACAATGGTATGTGTCGCTTTATTGTGGGTACTGGGAATTATGGAATAAAAATAGTTATTTGTTATGCAAGGCTGCAAGGTTGTTGTTTGACGCTAGTGCTTGTATTGAAAGCTGAGCAAGCGAAGGAACGCAAGATTAAACCACGAGGGAAGAGGGTGGTTCAAAAATATAATCCTGAGCGTAGCGAGGGTTTCAAGACACGAGACACAAATAAACTTTGCTGCCGAGCGAAACACACAACTTTTCACCTCACTATAGCTAGGAAAATGTAGATGAAAGAAAAACAGTTGAACTATAACAAATTAAAACTAATCAACAAAATTAGTTATTGTTGTCAATTTAATGTCAACAGTAATAAGAATAAAATATGCCAACGGATTCATATTATATAAATTATGTACTACAAATCGCGTAGTTGAACGTGTTATTATGTTTTTTTTTCAGTCCATCGGCAAGTTCGAATTTCAAAAACCTTTTCCACGCTAGAGCGGAAAAAACGTTTTTGCGCACAGATTTCTAGTGAGAAAGATAGGCTTTCCGAGCTTAGGTTTAAAAGAAATTATATAAAAAATGTATATTATTCGTATTTATTTTCGATCACCCAGGGAACGATTTTGGTCTTATTCTTCTGCAACTGACCGCGCAGCGGTGATGATATTTATTTTAACAAAAAGTCTAATATCCTAATTAGATTTTTCACACAATTAAAAAAAATGTTAACCCCGTACCTACATTTTAATTTTTTTAACATAAAATAAAAAGTGGTTTATAACTGCATAATTAAAAACTAATGTGCTTATAGTGGTGGTCAGATTATGGTCCCAATCGTTTTAAATAGAAACGTTTTAAATAGAATTGTTTATATGTTTTATCCCAATTTGTTTTGGTTATCATTTCGTCATATTTAAACCAAAGTTACCAAATAAACTATTTCTTTCTTTCACAGACCCACAATTGCTGAATCCTGCCAACATTGCTTCTGAAAGAGAGTAAGATACTCAAATTAATATTATAACAACAAAAGTACGTACAGTACAGTACACTACAAGTATTCCGTGGTTTACACCAAAATGGAAACAATTACAATTCAATATAAAAAAATCAAGTTTTTCACAGCTTTCAAAAAGTATTTTCACATTATGTTATACATAACTGAGCTGTAGATTAAGTAACTTCACGATATCGGTGGGCTTACGGCTTGCACGGATGCTAAATGAGAAGACGAAATTAATGAGCTTTTCTAAATTGGTTCTGCAGCTTGATTTTGATTGCCTCTCCCGATCGGAAACTGCGTCTTTTCCGAGTCGAGGCGCATAATTGCGATTCACAACTGGCCGATCGGAAACTTTGACATTTCTAATCGGAACAATAGTTGATTTAACTTACAAATTAAAAAGATATAGTAGGAATCAGCTTTATCTTCTCGCTTGGAAACCCATCTGATTTCGAGACTACCCGATTAGTTCGATTCCGATTTGAATGAAAATCAGCATGCCTGTCATGTGGTTCTGGGCAGTGAATTCCGTTGCTCCGGTATTCATAGTACAGGAATGTCCTTTTTTTATAATACTAAGTGACGGGCCGAACATGTCGTGCTAGTTATGAAAGAGACTTAGTCTTTTAAGGCTTTTTAAAAAACCTCGACTAATTTTTAACGCCTGACTACTAGTCTAGTCTTTTAACCCTCAAGTCTTGAGTCATAAGGCTAAAACTGAAGACTAATTCGAGTCGAAGTCTTTTAATCCTATGAAGCTTAAAAGACTTATAGGACTAAAACGACTAAAACGACTGGCGCCTCATGGCCTCGGGAGTCGCGAGTCAAAAGCCGTATGGCGTGATTTTATAGATATTAACAAGGTATTTATTTTACGATTTTTGTTATAAGTAAATAAACGTGATTATTTTCTACATACTACTTGCCTAAGCTACTTGCGTCATTTTCATTTATAACATTCGAGTTTAATAAGATATAAAATAGGTATAAGTCCATTGCAAACAACTCGAGTCGTTTAAGTCTTTCAAGTTGTTCAAGTTATTTAAGTCTTTGATATAACGATTTTTTATAACTACTGAGTCTTATTAATAAAAACTCGAACCTCCAGTCTTAATTTTAGAGTCGAGTCCAGTAAAATGGACTCGAGTCGTTATAAAACGCCTTAAAAGACTGAGTCTCTTCATTGCTATGTCGTGTGCCTGGTGGTAAGCGACACGCGATCCTTAACAGTTGCAGTGGCACTCAGAGCTTTAAATCGCAAAAATCACAAAGCACTGCCACTGTGCCTGTCACTCTGAGACATAAGTTGACAAGTCCCATGTGCCTGTGATTTCACCAGCGCCCTTACCGATTGAATTAAAGTAGGTTTTATTACTTATGAATAACGTGGAAACATAATTGATAAACATTTTTTATTGTTAAAACATGTAGAAACTCCGTCATGGAGAAGATTGACATGCTTTTCGCCGTTTTTTTTAATCCATCTGACGCTTTAACTCGTCATCCGTCGTCATCGAGTATATAATCAGAAATAGAGACGAACGGACCAAGGCCCAATAAGGGCTAGGGCTAAGGGCCATCCGTCCCTGGCAACTCATCAGGCAAATGGACCTTATTTCACTTTTAAATATCAACTCTCGTTTGCGCTGAAATCGCAAATTAGAAAACTGAAATAGTACAGCGCCAACAGAACATGTAGGAAAAACAGCACAACATCTTATTACGAAACAAACGGAATCACATTTCATCGGTAATTAAATATTAAATATGTAATTTTTCAATTGTCGTCCGTTTTTGCTATAACGGCTCAAGTTAAATTAGTCGATTTGAAGTGAAACAATTGACGACACCCGTCAATTGTTTCGAATTCGGGCTAGCCAATCGGAGTGCAGTTGTCACCCTAATGATTAGGCAAAATAGTTTTCAAACAAATTAAAATTACATTTCATCTCTATTTCTGGTTATATATTCGACGTCTTTCGTAAAGACATATGGTGTAGAGTGACAAGAAAAGATAAGAAATGAGTACAAGAAGTTTGAAAGTGGCGCCAAGGACGGAAAAGATGATGCGTAATAGGTTAGCGTGGTATGGACATGTCATGCGGAGGGATGAATGTCATGTGGCGAGAAGAGTGTTAGGTGCGAATGTGGGGGGATATAAGGGGAAAGGAAGGCCAAAGAAAAGAAAAAATGCATTGCGTGAAAGATAACATGGATAAAAAAGGTGTGAGTATGGAAATGACGGCTCGTAGGCTCCCCTGTGGAAGAAAAATACATGAAGACACGTGGTGTCCCTGCTGATTTTGGTACTATGGTGTCCTAGAGGCATGCGGTGTCATTAACTCACAGCTATGTTTTCATCCACCATTTTTAATTTTTTTTTAATTTCATTTAAAATTCGTAAAAATAAATTTCCAAAAGCGCTAAAGACACCGTGTGTCTCTAGAACGCGAGGCACGTTTAAAGCGTTTGACGTTTCAAAAGTGAAATTCACTGTTTATTATTTCTCAATTTATTAAATAGAAGCAGCCTTATTAAACTTACATTTATTATAAAAAAAAACGTTTTGTCACACAGGCATATAAAAGAACATATGGACGTGCCAATCGACACTTCTAAGATGTCCGAACAAGAACTACAGTTCCACTATTTCAAAATGCATGACAACGACAATAACAACAAATTGGACGGATGTGAACTTATAAAATCTTTAATACATTGGCATGGTAAGTGATGTTTTTTTAATTTTAATAAATTTTGTAGCTTAGGAAGGTACGATAGTTTCCGTTACGTTTAGTTTTTTCTGGTATTTTATCTATTTAATCTTCTCTGCAAAAATCACGTAATTGTAAATCTACGTTTTGTTATGTTTGGAGTTCAGATTAGATTCTGATAATTTAGTTTTTATTAACTGTTTGGACACGTTTCCGTTATACTCATAACAATTTTTATGAAGAATATTAACACTATCTCGCCGATTACTGCATATACCTACAATTTTAATACATTTATTTTGAAACTAATTTACATAACGTTCATTGAAAAAATATGAAGCCGATTTTTTTGAGGCGACAATTATTTTTTTTGCAATGGCCTTGGCTGTTGAGTTTTGACCAGACGACCAGGTAGAAAAGGATATCGGTTGTGATTTTATTTATTATTTTGTTTTAATGTCATAATTGCTTTCATTCGGTCTTGGGTTGGAAGGGATATTTGAAAAATGTTTGTAATTTTTGTTGACTTTTTTTAAAATTTTCATGGCTATGGAATATGTTTTGTCCATTCCCATGGGTTTTTCGGAATGTTTTCTTACATTTTTTTTTCCATTAATTCTTTACCATAATTAAGACTGTTTTTTAACTATGTTGTTCTGTTCGACTCAAATGGACCTATTATACAATTTTGATGAAAATAATTATCTACACAATTCCATTAAAAAATTCATATTTTTTGTTTTGACGTAAATTATTAATTTAGCTGCAAGTCCTTGAGTGTTGTATGAACGAGTTGCTGCCCCTGATTGTCAAAACAAATATAGAGGCTAGATTTTTTAAATAATTATTTAAAAAAATGTCATGAAACATTCTGATCATAAACAAGGCTTTTTGTGTCTTTTTTTAACTACGCAAAGTTTTTATCATAATAAACCGCCATTCATGAAAGCTTTTTAAAAAAAGACAGCAAACTGTTGCATCGGGCGTGATTTCACATTGCTTTTTCATTTCTTTTTTCGGTGTTCCCCATCACTAGAGCAAAGTCATAAACAGCCCCAACAAGGTCAGGCGCCGGTTGGAGAGAAGATTTTTGGCGACGACGAGTTAGTCAACCTAATAGATCCAATACTGAATATGGACGACCACAATAGGGATGGTTACATTGATTATCCTGAATTTGTGCGAGCACAACAGAAAAGCCGACAGGATAACAACAAATAATATTAGTATTATGTTAAAATGTTCATTTGAATACCAACTAACTTATTTAGGGGATTTTAAGTCACAATTTCTTTTATTATAATTATTAATCCATAGATCGAACACTTAGAAAAAATTCCTTCCGAGCGGATTCGAACCGACATGTTCGATCTTTGTATTAATAATTATAACAAACTAGTGGAGTAATTTCACAAAAAAATAATTGAATATCACGATAGTGAAACATTGTGACATTCAATAAAAAAATATTTTCTTTTATTTTCATAAAATATGGTTACACTACTTACCAAAACTTTGTCTTGCTATTTATTTCTTTACCTAATAAGAAGACCAACAATTTACTACCATAGTATAATAAGATATGTATGGTAACCAGAGATGGGCAGTGGATTAAAACCGAACCTACCCGCCCGGGTTTTAATCGTGAGCAGAAAGGGCTAGTACGGAATTTGCTATAATTCCATAATTGATGACATGAAAAAAAAACTTTATAAAAACCTTCGACAGCTCGTGGAGAGCTACTGGATAGGTGAGCCCGAAAGTAAAAGGACGGGAAGCCGTGCTATCACCAACTTTTAAATCCGAAAGGCTCGTATTGCTTCACCTTCTTCATGTGCAACCACCGTGTAAAAACTTGCGCACACTTAATGCCGGCCGGAGATGTGGATAGTTAAATAAAAATGTTTGATGATGAAATTTGAGACGGAGATTTTTCAGTTGGAATGTTAACGTCACACAATTATTTTTTATTTCACTGGCAATTAATGCGGCTTTGGCGTAGCAGGGATTGGGATGGGAAAGGAAAAGGAGATGCGAGATTAGACATAAACTATCTGGCGTTGCCATTTTATTACAGTCAGTGCAAAAAATCATTCGCGTCATGTGGCGAATGAAGCTTCATACTTGACATTGTGTTTTAATTAGGTTGAGTGTTAATTATTTGACAGTAATTGTTTTTGAGAGTAGAACCCATCGAGTATATAACCAGAAATAGAGACGAAATGTCATTTAATTTGTTTGAAAACCATTCTGCCATGTCGTTACTGAGACAACTGCGCTACCATTAGCCAGCCCGAATTCAAAACAATTGACGGGTGTCGTCAATTGTTTCACTTCAAATCGACCAGTTAGCTTGAGCTTTGCTATAATGGACGAAAATTGCAAAATTACATATTTAATTACCGATGAAATGTTATTCAGTTTGTTTTGTAATTAGATGTTTTGCTGTTATTCCCCACAGCACCGAATGAAACAGCACGCCATTGTTAGAGATATTATCTTTATTACAATAAATACAGAACATTTTTGGAATATACAGAGACGTACACAGGTCAGTTGATGTTTATAAGTGATGTATCACTGATGAGTTACCAGTAATTTATGACTCGTATTTCGTCTCTATTTCTGGTTATATACTCGATAGTAGAACCCCTGCTACGTTTTTACGGAGTTACCATTATTGTCTTACTGTACTATGATAGTAGGCACTGCCTCATTTCACTGGTTTTTTTTTAATAGAAAAGTGAAAGATCTCCTATCGTGCTTCCATTCGAAATACCTAGTCCTTTTCCGTCCTATTTAAGACTAAACTTCACAGTTCTTACTAGGAATTTTAATTTAACTAGTTCTATTTAAAACCTTAGTAAATAACCCCTTAAAAAGCTAGTTGTTATTTAAAAATATTATGTACGTACTTGGGTTTATAGTTGCGAGTCTTTTCATAATTTTCACTTTTGTAATATCGTCTCTGGAGACTGATGGTCGTATTCCAGAACTCTACTCAATGCTCAAGTCAAGACTTGAGTATGATTTAAAGCACTAGAAATCATACTCAAGTCCTTGTCTTTAGGGTCGTATTTCCAGTGCTTGAAATCATACTCAAGTCTGCTCAAGTCCTGACTTGAGCATTGAGTAGAGTTCTGGAATACGACCCTGAGAAGCGACCTTGAAACTGCAGTCGTGAAACGAACGAAAAAGCAAGCTAAAGTGGTATAGGCAAGAGCCCGTCATACTTGACACTTTGTATTTTGGACCGTTCCTATCGTAAGCGTCATAGAGTTGGATTTAAATCTTAAGTGTCAAGCTTGACGTGCTCTTGACCATGTACCTTTTTAATGGATATAAGACTTCTTATAGTTAATTTAATTAATACAATTTCTACGCTAAAATAAAAACGGATTTTTGTATTCATAATCGTAACAAAACTAGTTCAGTTGTTTCACAAAGAAAAACTCATTAAATACATTTGATCTAATAGCATCTGCGTCAGTTGTCATACCTGTAAAGGTATCGACTGCGGTGAGAAAGTTATTCAAAAATCTCTCAGTAGATGTCACTAGCGGCGACGAATGCCTAAAGACAAAGGAGGATTTCGATGACTCGGTAACTGGATCCGTGGTTCAGATGGTTGGAGCAATGCTACGGTGCAGCATGGTCGTGAGTTCAAGTCCCACCGGGTCGGTGAAATTTTTCAGTGTGTTTCATCATTGTATACATAATCATAACAAAATTAGTGGAGTTATTTTACAAAAAAATCTCGTTAAAAATGGAAGTAAATAAATTTGATACAGCGCGAACCTAGTGGAGGTTAAATTGCAAAATAGCTGCGCTTGTGTAGAATATTTTTTTCATGCAGTTCATTTTTCCCACCTTCCTCTTCTCATAAAATTAACAAAATAAATAACACAAGCGCTGTTAGGATCACAGATACTACCACCAAAAATATACCCGACATGTTTCAACCTCTCTCCGAGGCATCAGGAGGTAGAGTGACCTCCATCTCACCTGACAATCTAAGTGCCAATGCACTGTTGACAATGCGCAGTTGTATTGTCTAATAAAAAAAGGTAATACTTTGATTTTTTTTCGCACATTATAAGCTACTAAAGCAGATGTTGCAAAAGAAACACTACTGCAGTCCGTGTGGCGTGATCAATTGTATTCGTACATTAGTTGACAATTGCGGCAGCGCTCGCCGCCGCGGTTTCAAGTAACGCCGCTACCGTGGTTCGTGTATGAAAGTGTATAAAAAAATGCAAGAGCGACTAGAACTGCGGCGCCGTGTGTAATCAGCCTAACGCGATGAAAAGTAATCATCCATTAATATTCCGATATAACGCAATTATTTAACATCTGTGTCTTGCCCTGGTGACATATTCTAATATACGAATGAATATTTGAATATCTAATAATGTAGTGTGACACGCGTAAAGTGTCACGAATTGACACGAAGGTCTTTAGCGTAAAATCAGTTCGAAAACATTTTATAATAAAATATGCCATGTTATGAAATGATGTCGTCGTAAAAACTCCAGTGCCCTGAAATGCATTACAAACGCAGCATTTTAAAAATCAAGCCCCTTGTATAAGCTTGTCAGTTGTTATTGGTGTGAGTTAGCCCAGGGGTACCTACTGTACCTAATGCCGCCAAGCAGTATATACTGCGTTTCGGATTTGAAGAGTGCTGTTGAAACTACATGTCAATTTAAATCTCAGGCTGACGGGTGCATAATGCCACTCAGATCTTTGCGATTTAAAGCTCTGAGTGACACTGTAATTGTTACAGGTAGCTGTGTCTCTTACCACCTAGTTCACTACTTGTTCGTCCCGATTGTACATAGTATTTTATTCCATAGTATTTTATATAACAGCAAAGAAAACCTTAACGATAAAAAGCGTATCGGGAAAATTCGAAATCCTACTTGAATTTACTTATAAAGCTCAATTTACATCGCTGCGGATCGGAATGGAAGTGGAGTGTGGTTGGTTCAAATAACAAGTATGAAGCTTCATTCGCATCGTGCTTCTTTTAATTTGATCGAATTTTATTTATTTCATTAGTTCTCCTTTCGATGTGATATCGGACGAACAACGGAAATAGACCCCTAGATACCAGTAAAAAAAATAGATCGCGCGATTTCGGAGATTTTTCGCGTGAGTTCGGGAATTCGTATGACTACCGTCTCGTATCTAGTTTGTAGGTAATACAATTGAGATAAATATATATATATACTATGTACAATTTCCTTTAACCAGAAGCTAGTAACTTTAAACCCACGTAAGTATGTCTGCCCTCCTTGGCGTAACTAACGCATTTGCGTTTTAGTAACTTTCGAGATATTGACACCTAAAGTACAGATTACATAATAGTTACTACGTAACAAATACATCGCTCAAAAAAAATCGAAAATATTTACGCTCTATAAGCCTACTAAATCTGACTAATGACACCAGGCGCTCACTACGAGGAAAAAGGACGTTGCCCGATGTATGCACTCGTGCGGAATCGAATGTTCATATATGAAAGACTTGTACGAGCGCTTGTGCCGACGTCGGTACACCCAGCGGTAGGCACTTATCGCGTAATCTTGAGCGAGTGATGGAGCCCTGCCTACAGTTTTATTATCCTCTAAAAAAATGTCAACAACGTTGATTTTGCTTAACAATAAAATTGAAATTACGTAAGATATAAAAAACCAATTAAAAGGGGTTGAAGATCTACTAAAAATGTCGATAACGTTAGTTATGATAAGGATGGTAGATTGATTTGTTAACGTGCTGCATTCCGAAATACATTGTTAAATCGTAAGTAGTTATTCTAAACTTTATATTTACAAAATTAAACTAATATTTTTGCCGCCGTTATTTGAAAGGGCGCTTGTGACAAAAACTCAAAACCAAGAAAATAATGTTTAAAGGAATGAAATTAAAAAATATATAGAAATACAAATAGAAACCATTCATTGCAATGTCACATTATAAAAAAGGCACAAAAAAAAACTAATGTAAATAAAAACAGAAATAACAATAAAATACAACGTAACAACATTCAAACAACAAGTTGTACTATATTACAAAATACTATGCTGACATGTGTGCGACTGTGGCGTATGCACAAAAGGTCCCATTCAGCTAAATTCGCAACCAAGACTAGGCTGTGACGCTGGTTTTCAATGGGCCCTAGCCGAATGACTGACGGACGTTCCTATATTTACTTTTCTCTTGTGGTTAATTCATATATTAGGTGTCGGCCTTTTTAAAAAAAATGTCACATGCTCCCTTTCAATTAATGGCGGCGGATATTGTACTGTACACACAACCACACTGTCATATTTCGATATTACAAATGAAAACTTTGTATTTACAACTTTTCAATT